TCTAATTTTAATTTTTCTAGCTCAACTTGAATTTCGCTTAGTTTAAGTTCCCTGTCCGCTGTTTGTACTCTTTCTTCTACGGCGTTAGTTATTAAATTTTTGACAAATTCAGAATCATTTTTAAATATTTCGGTGGATTCAATTTTCTCTTTTAATTTAACAATATTATCGCTGCTGTCTGCGATACCTCCTATTTCCTCTAATACTTTTACTAGGTCTTCTTTCTTTGAATTTTTATACATTTTTAAAATTGAAAATTTCCTTCCTTGATTGAAGAGACTCTCCAATGGTAATCCAATGTTTCATTGATTCAAGCCAGATTCGTATCCCTTTCGTATCCAAGGATTTTACAACTGCACTTTCAGGAAAAGTTGACTGCCCTTCTGAGTTGCACAAAATATTCCAATAGTTCCGGAAAGTTTCTGGATCAGTTCTGCTCTTCACGGCAGATTCAGTTGTTGCTGCTGTCCTTCGCGACAGATTCAGTTATTGTTGATTTTTTGCTGCACTTCTCCTGTCCTGATCGCTATTGCTACGGAAAATTCGTGGATTCCAACTGCCCTTCTCGGCAGATTTAAGACGGAATTTAACACAGGAACAACATTCGAGTGAATGTTAATTTGATAAACCGCTCCTCCACGAGCGTAGAATTTAGGTGAACACCGAATTCGGTTTTCGATGAACCGAGTAGGGGAACAATGATTCCCCTACTTGGGATTTAAAACAGGAACAAAATCTGCAGCTCCTATTCAAGAGCAAAATTTTTTTCTTTTCTTTTTCCCCGGTGAATATTCCCTTCTTGGGATTTCAAAAGTTATTTGGCTGAAAAATCCCCCGCTCGGGATTTCGAAGCTGCTTTAGTAACAATATCAAAGCAATTAATGTGACAGTTGTAAAAAATATATGTATTTTGCTTCGAATTTTTTGAACCTATGAAATGGTGAGCCTATAAACTTAAGCAATAAAAATATATTATTAGATTGCGATAAGCAGAGAGCTCGCCGCACTTAACTATACTCAATGCCAATGCTCAATATTATTACATTTAATTATTTAATGAAAGATAATTTTAGCTTTTTAACATTGTTTTGAAATACTATGCAAAAAACAAACCTATAAAATTTATTGACCTATTACTTTCAACGCAATATATATAATTATTTGGAAAAAAAATTTTGCATGGAACTTTTAAAAAGCTTTAAAGTCCCATTAATATCTTTCTTTTTTATAAGCTCAATTTTTCAATAAGCTTAATTTCTTTATAAGCTCAATTTTTTCTTCTTTTTTTGTAAAAAAATTCTTAGTTTATTTTTTTCCGACAAAATTGCTTTTTTCTTTATATTATTAAAATTAATTTGATTTAAAATAATAGAAAGAAAATCAAGGCAAAGTATTGTAACTATTTTTTTATTTTCGATGCTTTCTTCCATACGTTTAAGATAAGATTAAGATATCCTTCTCTTTATTGAATTAACAAATTAAAATTTTACACCATAGTAAAATATATTATCCCTAACCTTAGTGATATGCAGAAGGCGTGAAGGCGGAAACGGCTGCAGGCATCTAGCTAAATTGATGAACAAGGATACTGTAACTTTCTAAAATTATGTATATATATATACATATTTTACAGCTATATCTTTCTTTTTTGTACGTAAATAGTTCTGGGGACTGTGAAGATAGCGACAACGGGATGGAGCCCCATAATTTAAAAAAAGAAAAATTGAAACTAAATTAATTTTTTATATTATATCGACATTTTAAATTGTTATTTTTAGCTGATAATTTGACGATATGTACTGAGAAATTCAAAATCTCCATTTTTGAAGGTATTTAATATAAGTTACTTTTTCTTTAGCTTTGATCGTAGATAATAGATGTTGGTCTTACTGTGGATTCGTTGATGGGTGAAACAGGAAAAATCTTACAATATTTTAACACTTATAAAATCAAATGTTAATAAAAGAAAATTACTTATAATTGTTTCAAATAATGTTTTACTGCCTTTTCGACAGTAGATTCGAAAATATTATAGCATTATACATTCAATGACAAAAAGTTCTTCTCTTTTGATTTTATCATAGTTAAAACTTTTAATATTTTGCAATTAGAATTTTTAATCAATTTTGCCCCAACAAATTTTAAATTCAATGTCGGAAGGATCAAAGGCAGTTTTTTAACTAATTTATTTAAATTTAAATAATTATCTGTTATTAGTTTTGGTTTGCCATCATTTAAGTAATTTCATCATAGATGTTAGATTACCATTGCCAACTAAAAAGGTCCCGCAGTGGATTGATCGTTAAGATACGGTTCCCAGCAGATCACCGAAGTCAAGCATCACTGACTGCGGTCAGTGTGCAGGTGGGTGAACANTAGGGACCGAGGGTGTGCGGTATTGGTCCTCGTTAAACTGTGCTACCGTAAAGTGCTCGACTTCGAGTGCAGTTAGTTGGGCTACCGAAGCGGGAGTGCCATCCCCTCTGCTGAGGATCAATGTGATGGCATGTCTTCGGATCATCCTCAGGGATGTTTCCCAGACCGTCGCCAATAGCCCTTTGTGCAGCTCGAACAAATCAAATCAAGCCAACTAAAAAGGACTGGTCAAGGTATTATAATAGTTAAATATTAGTTTTTTAGTCCTAAAAGCGCTATAATGTCAGACCAGCATATAGAGTTGAGTTAGTTGGATAATCAATGCTATGGACCAGTAAATCGAATACAAAATATACGCGGGTACCTTTATTATTGTCGATCGAAATGAACCGTAGGTGGCGTAGAGCAGAACTCTCCATGGCAACACTTCACATGCTTTCCCCATTAGCGTGTCATAGAGGAAGGAAATACGTTAGTTTCTCTCTTGATTTTCATATAGATTAAAATCTTTTAAGTTGGAAAACTATAGGGAACTGAAAACTGCCTTAAACATAGTTCTAGAGAAAAGTATCACGGAAGTTTTAAAAAATATTTTTATGAAATAAAAAGGAAAAATATTAAGAAAAGGGAAATTATCGTAGTACATTCCTATGGATGGTGTTTTCAGTAGAAATGTAAACAATAACAATCTCGAGCTCGGCACCTACTCTAATTCCGGTTAAGAAGTTTGCAGCTGCTTTCTACATGTTATTCTGATAGGCGATGTTTTCAAACGCATAATTTTGTTTTCAATAAAAGAAATAAATTAGATAATTTCTGAGCTCATATCTGCCGTATTTCATAAAATATTAATGTTATTATTTAATTTTGGGGAGTTTGGAGTGAAAATTAACTTTAGTTATTTTGTTATTTATTATTAAAAAAGGTGACACGGTTGCTAGATTTTGAATAACTCTCTTTTTTGGCAGTCATGATTTGGCCTTTTGCCATAAGTTTATTACTGTTTGTTCTTGTTGCAAGCTGTGCACCATCTTACGTTAGTGTTAACACTTTTAGCATTGTAAACACAAGTATTGTTTGAAAGAATATAAAGTACCAGGACCGGAGGTTTTTGATGGAATCAGCAAATCGAGGTTGTTGTGAGCAGTTTGACTGATGCATTGTCTTGTTTTTGTTCGTTTGATTTTGGCAACTTTTTATTATTTTTTATATAGAAAATATATCAATAGAAGTGTTCTTTTTTCGTCTAAGTTGTCTTATGTTATAATCTTTATTAAAATATTTCTTTTTCTCAAAATGATCTGTTTATTTACAATTGTAATTTAATTTCAACACGTTATCAGCACGAAGCTCTGTGTAAGTAAACATTGGAAATTCGGATGTAAGAAGACAGGCAGTAGAATAGCACAAATCGTCACCATGGAAGATTACAAATTGAAGAAGTTAAATGGTGAGAATTACCATGCATGGGCAATACGTGCTCGCGCACTGATGGTGCAGAAGAAATGCTGGGAGGCAGTGGAACCCGGCTACGGCCTTACNAAGGGCTAAAGGCATGAAACCGGTCTCTGGCGTATTCGAGTGTTACGATCGCCAATACAGCAATTCCATGAATTATTTGACTTTATTACGTAACATTTTTGGATATACAGTAAATAAGTTACATTTGCTTTCATAAAAAGCGTTATGTAAAATTATCTAGTCAACACATATATGTTATTTAAAAAAATAAATAAAAGTAAAAGGAAAAAAATAGGCAGAAGTAGCTTAAACAGGAATTGGCGATCGAAATGAGTTGCAGGTGGAGTAGAGCAGAACTCTTTTCCTATGGCAACATATCACATGCTTTCCCCATTAGCGTGTGGAAACCCTTATGAAAATTTTAGGTATATTTAAGGTTGATTTGAGGTATTTTTGAGGTATTAAGGTTGTTTTGAGGTATATTTAAGGTTGCAGAGAAAACAGCAATAAAAATTANTAAAAAAATATTTTTATTAAATGAAAGGGAAAAATATTAAGAAAAGGGAAATTATCGTAGTACATTCCTATACGACTGAAAAGAGGAGGAGAGGGAAGGGCTAAAGGCATGAAACCGGTCTCTCCCTAGATGGCGTATTCGAGTGTTGCGATCGCGAATAGTGAATAAGTGATAAGAGCGCCAGCCATGATAAATTCAGCCAATAGGATTTATCTATTTAATTTCTGGAGGTGGTTGCTCCTCCGCATATGCGGAATTGCATTCTGACTCATGTTCGTCATCTGCTTAAATTTTTGTACATTAATTGTTGTTGTTGTTGTTAATTTGCGTCGCACTAGAGCTGCACAATGGGCTATTGACGACGGTCTGGGAAACATCCCGGAGGATGATCCGAAGACATGCCGTCACAATTTTGATCCTCTGCGGAGGGGATGGCGCCCCCGCTTCGGTAGCCCGATGACCTGCGCGCAAAGTCGAGCACTTTACGGTAGCACAGTTTAACGAGGACCAGTACCGCACACCCACCCTTGGTCCCTACGCAGACTGATCCAAGTGGTCACCCACCCGCACACTGACCTGACTTCGGTGATCTGCTGGGAACCGCGTCTTAACGATCAGTCCACTGCGGGACTGTACATTAATTAAGCCAATACTAAAAAAATAGAGAAAGCACTTTTTCAAAATCTGCTAGCTAAAGATTTTGCTGACAGTAAAAAGATTATCTTTTATGATATCAGCTGACAGTGAAATTATTTGTGACCACGACTACAAAGATTGTAGGGGCTTGGAACGGTGGGGGGTTTCTTATTTTTTTTAGCAGAAAGGCATGGCGAAAAGCAAGTCTAATAATGATCGTAGTAAATCTTACGATAATTTTTGCTATGTAAATGAGCGCCCTGTTGACGATATATCATTAGAATTTTTCTATAAACCTCATACGATCACTCTCTTAAGTGTGGCTGTGATCGCCGTGATACTCTCTGTTTTTTTACGGTAAGTTTTTATTTTGAATTTTAACAACCTTGATATATTTTGTTTGTCAACAAACCACTTAAGCAGCTTCCAAGGCAACTTTCTTTTCACCATCCAAATACTAGCACTGATCTTGTTTAAGCTATTGACTTGTCTTATTAAGATATAGTGTAAATTTAGTAATTAATTCTTTATTGGTAAAATTTTAATGACGAAATATTTTATTAATTAAATATTTGTGATAGAATGTAAGTGTTAGAAGATTAATCATTATGAAAAATCTGGAACCTTCTATAGTTGTTGTAAATTGATCCCTTATTATTGTTTGGTTATCATGAAGTATTCATTAAGAAAACAATTTGTAAAAGTTTTCTTTCCTTGCTTACTTTGGCTTAATTATTATATTATTTACTTTGTTTATTGACCTTATTGTTTATTCACTATATAATTAAAGTTGAAATCAGAAACAGTCCTCTCCATATTTGCATTTTTTAAAAGCATACTGTCTGACTGACCACTGTTAGTGCCGCATTAAGCAAAAAAACAATGTCAGACTGTTTATATTTAGAATAATGTTGGCTACTAGTTAATGAACATGCACTGGTATTGGGAGAGGCTTTATTTTTGTCTTATCATTTATAGATTTTCAAGAATCTTTGAGTGTTATGAAACTATATTTTTAAAAGATTCATTGTAGGCTTCTATAAAATTTGCACTAAATGCATTACGGGACACATTGCAGGGGTCTGTCTAGGTTTTTCTGACAGGTACCTATTTTGTGAAAATTTAAACGTAATTTGTGAAAAATTAAAAATTATATTAAAAAATCTACACAAAAATATGGATTTATCGTTTATTAAGGGATACAAAAATGAAATTTTAAGAAAAAGTATTTTGTGAAACTACCGTTTTTCCTAAAATTGAATTTGTGAAACTACCGTTTTTCCTAAAGTTGAATTTGTGAAGGTACCGCTAAACGGTAGTAAATTCGGCCTGGACAGACCCCTGCATTGTAAACCATAATTTTCCACTTAAGTCCTAAAACTTGTGATGTATGTATATTACTACCATTGCTAAATATTAATATAGAATATTTAAGTGCAAAAGGATATTTCTGTATCTGTTCACACCTACTATCTTATGATAAGTCAAAATTGATTAAATAGTTTACACAAACAACTTGTTTCTGATCAGTGATACAATATATTCTACAAATCATTCTTTCCTTGTTTACATCATTCTTAATGTATAGAGCGAAGTTTGCAAAAGTTGCGATATAGTATCAAACGCTAAAATGTAAGAATTCAGACAAGTCTACTTATCTGTTGATGATAACAAACAGAACTTATCTAACCTGACTACAAGATTGATTGATGAAGAAGCCTCTCCGTCATAATCTTAACTAACTTAAAATCTTAACTTTTCTTGTTTCAGATTGCTTAAACTTTGAACAAAAACTATTAAATACTGAAGTAGATAAAAACAAATTTAAAATTCAAACCAGGTGCATGAACAAATATAAATTGACTTGCTACTCATGATGGAAGAAAGGTCAGTAGGCCTGAGCATGTTGTTCCAAACCTTGGGAAACTCATAATGCTGTTCCAAAAAAAAAAAAGCAAAAATGCATCAAATGAGTGAAGTAGGTAAAGGAAAAACAGCTGTAAGAAATGAATGAAGTACAGTAGATTCTGTACATATGCTCATATGACCTTTAGTATGAATTACTTAAAAAGTTTCATTTCTCTGAAAAGGAATGAAGTTATTCCATCTTTGCAATGCTGTAGAAATAATAATTAATGAAAGCTTAAAAATCCAAAAGGTGAATCATAAAAGGTGGGGAGAAGGAGAAATATGTGATGTTCAAGATCTAATGACAAATCTTCTCTCTGAAGGTGAGCAAAGGAATGAAGTAAATAAAAGCAAAAAATAAAGCTGATTTCAATTGTGAAGGTGATTTAGTTCCAGGGTTGGTGCAGTATTTACCATGTGAGGTTTCAACAATCTTGGGAAAAACCTATTTTTTCCCATGATTTTTATCCTTATTATTAAATGTTTTACTTTGGTTTTAATTGTTCTGTAAAACAAAACTTGTTTTCTAACATGTTTATAAATATTCTTATTGTTTCTGCCATTTTTGTGAGTATCTTAAAAACAATGCATGCATTAAGGCGTTATTGAAACCAATGTTGGCAAGTTTCTGCCAAGGTGGTTAAAACCACTGGTAGAAACCGGTTAAAACCGGCATGGCAGAAACCTTTTTCTGGCACATTTGTGTGCAGAAATTCAGAAAATGACATAAAAGTAAGTACTGAGATTGACATACAATGGATAATTCATAGGAAAAACAATTAAATGTTAAACAAAGTACAATTTATTTACAAAATTATCAGCATTCAAAATCAAATATTACGTTGTTTGCACTCTGCAGTAATCTATAACGAAGGATAAGTTTTGATGCAGTTTCTAAACCTAAACAATTTCTCAATTTGCTATGAAACAAACGAGAAATTTGAGAAAATTCTCTCAAGTCCATCCGAACTAGCAGGCATTGCCATCAAGGAACAAGCAAGATTTCTGAAACTTTCATCTATTGCATATTTTTTAAAACTGGACCACCATGTAGCAACCTGGGTAGTGGTCAAAACTTGACTGGAAAAATAAGTTTCAGGAAATGGGACGATTTGTTTTGTAAAGCTATGACATAAGGTACAAAATCTGGGTTAATATTGGCGAGTAAAACTCTGGCGCTTTCTTCTTGAGCACATGATAATTATAATCCCAAATACTTTGGATGCAGCATATAAGCTAGCAAATGCTAATCAGTAACTGCCTGTTTAAATCCGTATGTAAACAAAATGTCATTAAGCAATTACTAGAACTAATATAGAAGTTTTTTTTAGTTTCTGCCAGTTTTNTTTTTTTTTTTTTTGAAAGAAGAAAGTTTTTTACAGTCTTGATTGTTCTTCTGCTTTTATAATTTTCTGCTTAAATGTTAAAAATAAAAGGAGATAAACAATATCTTTATTTCACATTGTAATTTAATTGTTTTTATCTGTTTGTGATTTGTTCTAATTTTGTTATTCTTCTATCCTCAGTAATGATGACAATCTTCAAGATAACATATGGCATGGTATTTTATGTATTTGTTTCTTCTTCCTGATTATTAGCATACTTGCCTTTCCAAATGGTATGTGTATTTTGATTTTCTCTTAATTATGTTACGCTCTTAACTTAGGATGTACAGTCCGCAAAAAAAAAAAGAAGAGAGATATCATTCTGAATAACTTTCGTTCTAATGATCAGATTTTCATGAACAAATTGTTAATCTTAATGGTTCTTGGGAGTGACCTCAAATATGCTAATTAATTAGTGCTAACTATTAATTAAGTTACGAAATCAGACACAAAAACATACTTTCTCTGAATAAACATATATTTTTTTACATATTTGGAATCTAGACACTTGAATTATGTGACACATGAATCACTATTCTGTGTAGACAAAATTTAAAAAAAATTGGGTCGTAAATTCGGTTGCAATAATGGTTTATATATTTGGCGATAGTCCAGAAAACCGCCAAAAAAAGTCGCCTGCGCAAATAAATATTTTAGTACGTATTAAGAACTGTTTTTTCTTCGNTGGGTCGTAAATTCGGTTGAGATAAAGGTTTATATATTTGGCGATAGTCCAGAAAACTGCCAAAAAAATTCGCCAGCGCAAATGGATATTTTAAGATAACCCATTGCCTAATTCAAAAGAGAAATGCTTCATTTTACTAGGATGCTAGGCAACCAAGCTCTGACTGTAAAAAAATTTAAGTAATGTTCTGTGATTGCTCGGAGAGGTTTAATTAATTGTTAATGGAAAATATCTCGAAGTTTCTAGGCAACAGACAATTTTTAAGCTGATTTCTGTCCAAAAATCAAAATTTTTTTTTATTTTAATCTCCTTTGAAAAGAAAGTTTGAATCAATTTATAAATTATTTATGATTTTTTAAGTTTTTAGAATTTAAATACATGAACTTTTTATTTGATGTTATTTAGATTATGTTGTTTTTGCTATATTTATTCGAGGATTTCAGACTAAAATCATATTAACATAACTTATAATAGCTATATACAAAATTTTAGGGATTATCATTTTTACAGCTTTAATCAAGTCTTCTAGGCAAGAAAGTTTTAAGGGAAAAAAAGTGCTTGAAAAATAAAATGTAGATTGTATAGTAATTCTAATGCACATTCACAAGGTTTTTTATAATTTTTGATATTTCTTTTTTCTATAACTCAAGGAATTGCTGAATGTTATGTTAGTCATAATATACATCAGAATTATGTTAAAAATACAAAAAAAAAAAAAAAAAAAAAAAAGCTTCTAACCAGTAAAGGAACAGGAATGTTCCTTCATTGGGAATAGATTTCCCAGTGAATGAACAGTATGTGTGAAATATGATTTTACATGGATAATTAGTAATTATAGATATAGAGGACACCTAAAATTCAGTTAAATGTTGTATGAATAGTTCCTATAACAATTTCATTTCAAAATGCAAATTTAATTGCTAAATTTATTTAAAGAATTATTATAATAATTTATTTATTATTTATCTTTATAAATGTAATGATTTGTTATTACATCATACCTTAGACACCTTAATAAAGTACGTTTACTGACTAAATATAACAGCAACAACTAAATATAATAATAAAAGCTTGAATAGAAAATTTCTTTGCAGGCTTTTATGTCAATAATTAGCTAAATTATTATCTAAATTATTATCTTATTGCGGTCTTTAACGTCCTGGTAGGAAAAATCCATTTAAAGATGATCATCCAGGTGAAAAATGTGTGAAGTTTTTTTTAAGACGACATCCACCAATAACTCAGTGCAATGCGAAGATAATTTCAAAAGGTAAAACTTCCCTTAGAGAATAATATTCAAAATACTGGCTTTAAGAACTTTAGAAGAATCTTTAGGAGGAATGTAGCCCTGGCATCCTTTTAGAAAGTGATTGCATTTACAATGCGAACAAAACAAGAGTTGAATACTGCCTTTAAACGGGAAAAATCTTTGGCCCTAAAAATTAGAAGTACCTAGGAAAAAAGAAGTACCTAGGAAAAAAGAAGCGGCCCCAGGCAGCACTTAAACACATTGTAAAAAATAATTATACTTTTGATTTTTTTAAATTAAAAAGTTTAAAAAAATGGGAATTGGCAGATGAATCGCCACACTTTTGAACATGCTCACATTGCATTGATTCCATCTTAAATCTGTAGTTCACTGAATATGAATGTTCTGAAGTTAAAAGCATATTTTGAACTAAGTGTTGAATTTGTTTTTGAGCATGCATTTGTTTCATTATAAATTATTTTAGACTCCATAAAATTTCCTAAATTAAAATATTTACTTTGCATGTACTGTTACTCTATGACCAATGCAATATTTTGTAGAAATCTTTTTTAGCTATTGATTGATATTTTGAGTAAAGGAATCTACACTTTTGTTCTATAAATACAAGAACGTGGTAAAAAAAAGTATATATACTAAAGATTTTGATTGTATTTATTACTTTAGAAGTTCATATAATGTGCAAATTAACATTTGATTCCTAAATGTTATTTTAGTAGTGCATGTATCTAAAAGTCAGTTTTTTTTTTCTTTATGGTCAGAATACATAAAAATGACACATTTTTCCTAATTTTCAATTATGTCCTTATTTAGCTATATACAATTTATAGTATTAATATTAATTAACTGTTATGTTTAATTTTTCTTTTCGTTTTCTTGAAATTTATATTAAGTTGTATGAATTTTGATATATGGGAATAGCATGGGAAATTCAAGGCAGTACATTTCTTTATTAAAAAATATTTAAAATTGTAGAAATGAAGAAGAGAAATAATAATAAAAAAATGGATTGCATAAACATATCAAATAGTAAAGGTTTAGTAGTATTGGTTTGAAAAGTAAAGAATATACTATGTTTTTGTTAATTATTTTAATATAATGGGGGTTTAAATTTAACAATATTTTGTGACGTATTGCAACTTTAAATAAATAAAAAAATATATACTTTAAAAGCATTTTAAATATAAAAATGTAATGTGAAATTATGTCAAGAATAAGTATACTGTTATGTATGGAATATGAATTTATTTACACTGGTAACAGAGAATAATTCTAAAATTAAACCAATCAAATAGAATGTAAAAAAAAAAGCATTTTATTATCATTTATATTTTTGATAGTAGCAAATATTATGAATGGTGAAACCGTTGTTATGTGGACACTCTTGGGACTGAAAAAATTGTCCATTTTGGGAAATGGTATTGCAATCATATAGAAAGAATTAAATGATCTTTTCAGACACCGTATTTTTGAAGTTTGGAATTTTCTTTTTAAAGTTAATGCTTTTACTCAAGAATAATGGTCTTTTAAAAGTTTTATCTTTTTCAAAATAATTTCAGACGTAGCTACATCAAAATAAAAGTGTTTTTCCTAGTGACACTGATATTCGAGTTAATTCTATAACGCTTGCATTCCTATGTCACTTCTCCTATCAATAGGTTAACACCTTCCTATTGCCCCATAAAAAATGCAGCAATGTCTTCTTGAAAAACCTCTGATGATGCATAGGGAAAGAAAAAAAAAAACATGCCTGTAAGACACCAGGTCCTAGGCAGTTGTTATATTCACAATCAATGATTTGTCAAGAATCTGAATAAATGTTTGATTTATATGAACACCTAGATTCTCTCTCTCTTTTTATTCTTTTTTTTGTTTTTGTTTTTAAACCCAACTGTGTTTAACTACAGGAATAAAACTGATTAGAAATCGGAAGGAAATTTTTGTGGAGAATTGAGATCCTTTAATACATCATTTCAACTTGTGGATTCTCAGGACTCGCATGTGAGACGTTATAATTCAACTGTGGGTGTCCAAAAGATGCCTCTGCCTGAAGTATTTCACAATAGCAGTATCATTTTCTCTTCTTTCTTGGAAAATAGAAAGAAAGGTGACAGGAGAGAGTGATTGATTCTTCAGTGCTGAAATAGCTTTACAATAATTTTAGTTATGGATAAGGTTGAAAATTATCATGCTTTAAGGAACTAAAAAAAAAAATGTTTTTTTTTTTTTTTTAATTTAAAAAAAGTGGTGTCCGGTTTGAAATTTACGTTTTGGGGCATTAATGACTGCGGTGAGGGCACATAATGGTTCTTAGATTCATAGGGAATTTAAAAATTCTGTATTGAGTGGTGTCTGTAACGTTAGGTTTCATTGTATTTAACAAATGGGTAAAAATAAAATAAACTTTAACTCTTTAAATAGTTAGGTACATTATTTAACTAACTTTAAAAACTAATAGATCATGTAAAACAGATGCCGTTTGCAATTAAAACTCGAAATTGTAATAAAAAAAGGTCATCTTTTTGTTCTATTTGGTAATAATAAAACTGAAGGAATTAATTTAAATAATCAAAAGTTTAATTATTTAAAAGTTTTTTTTTAAAGAAAAAAATCTTTAAAAAAATTAATAAAACTGTTTGGTTTAAATTAGTTCTCAAGCCTGCTGCAATGTTGTCAAGCTAATGTACTAATCTTGTCAAATTTTTTGCCAAGTGATATTGGAGTTTCTATCTTGAAAAAGTATATTCTCCGATGAAAAGAAGAGTTTCATTCCAGGCAAAGAACATTTCATGAATGAGTTTTTAGATCTTTACACAGTTCCTTCTAAATACACATTTAAGAAAATTAATTCAGCTATTTGCATTTGATTTCATTTTTCAAACTTCTTTGATGAGTACATTTTCTTTTTTTGAAAAAATAAGCTAATGAATCCAAATAAATTTGTAATATGATATTGTCGCTTGGTATGTTTTATTAAATTAGTTTTTTTAAAAATAAAAAAAAAAAGATTTTAAAAATCAAAAGTTATTTTTAAAAGGTTGCTATAGGTGCTATAAATTTATAATACTACTAGTAAATTTAATAAAAATTTTAAACACCTTGCTTTTATTTTTTAAAAAAAGAAGTTTCTTCCTTTTGAAATTTCCTCCATTTTCGGTATTAGCTGAAAGGGAACTAGGGTGTAACAGTTATAAAAATAATATATTGTTTAATTTAATGGTCATACAGCAAAACAAATAGCTTATTGTTTTATAACAGAAGAGCCTGCAAAAGCAGTCTTATCCAATGTGGCATTTATCAATCAGAAAACTGCTTTGCCCTTTTTTTTATTTTAATAAACTTATGTAACATTTTGGTAGTGGTTTGCCAAAAGATTTCCTTTGATTTCTCAATTGTGTTATAAATACGATATAGTTTTATTATCATTGTTAATAAATTATTTTTCATTTCCAAAATTGTAGGTCCTTTTATAAGACCTCATCCAGCAATATGGAGATTAGTGTTTGGTAAGTCATTTTCTTTTTAACTATTAGTTTCTTTTAAAAACTATGCACAAAATCCATGAAAATCAGAGACACAGGTCCACTGCAGCAAGATTTTTTATCATTATAACTATTAAAAATACGAAAAATAAAATGCTTGACATTTTTATAATGTGATGATTGATTACATATCAAGTTATATATAAATGCTTGTATACTAAAACAAAATTATTAAAATCTTATAAAATTTTTATTGAGGGATAGACTTTTGTAAACTTTTTCCTATTTGTTTCATTTGATACAATTGTGTTTTATAAAATTTTATCTAAGGAATATTTATTTTATTTTAAACTTTTAGTATTTTTTATTTTATTTTCCTTTCTTGTGTACCTAGTCAATATAATAGGAACATCTGCTAAAAGCTAATGATGTTCCATATAATTGTGATTTTGTACAAAAGTGGGTTATTAAACGGAAAGCTTGTTTACTTTTACTTTAAGTTAAAAGAAAATACAAAATGTTTTTTTTTGTTTTTAATAGGTGTAAGTGTGATATACCTTCTTGGTTTGCTATTTATATTGTTCCAAAGTTATGATACCATCAAGAGTATAATGTACTGGTTTTACCCAGACCTCATAGACTTCAGGATTGACCTTGAAAAAGTAAATAATTTTCTAAGTTACCTCAGGTTTGTAGAATATTTGAGTTGCAATATCATGACATTATTTTTTTGTATTCAATTTCATTTTTAAATATTTATTTTCAGTTATTTCTTTGGTAGTTTTTAATGATATTTTTAACAGTAAGGCATGCCAAAACAAAGTTAAAAGCAAAATTTAGTGAATAAAGCATACCTGTCAAGTCTCCTGTTTTTAATGAAGACCCCTGTATTTTAGGACTATCTCCTGTTTACTCAGACATTCAAATTCTCAATTACTGTCTGTGTCAGAAACAATAGCATTAGTGTCAGCATATATATTCCATTTGAGATTAGATTTTATACCCTCTCCTGCTTTATCCCTCAAAAAATCATCTTCACCTCCTGTCAAGGAACTCAAAATTCCATTTTTACAATATCATTTGAATTCTCATTTTGCAATGCCTGTAGTATCATTCGATACATGTTGTCTATAAGAGCAGCTTGGAAATATCCTATTTTTTGTTAACATTTTGGCTGTGAAATATTTTTAATTTAAGACAAATTTTTTAGCTTAATAATTCTTTGTAATATTTTTTTAGAGGTTGACATATATACTCGACATACCAGAATTTCTAGGCACGTGATTTTTCCACTAATTCACGAAATTTTGCTAATCTTAAGATCGTTGATTCGAGGACTTCTGTGAATCAATAGTTTATGTTTCGGCAAAATTTCCTCGGAGTTCCGCTAATTTAAAATTTAAATTTTGTTGCTTATGCAAAATCTTGTTAACAAGGCATTTATACTGCCCTTATCAGCACCCTTCCCCCCCCCCCAAGATCNCCCCCCCCAAGATCTCATTCTTGCATGCATCCAAGATCTCATTCTCTTTTATCTAATGCAGACTTGTTAAGATTAGAATACAACTTCGGGTAATGAGACTGAAAAAAAAACACAACTCCATAATAATTTCTGCTAGAATAATGAACTACTGAGGCAAACACAAAAGTATAAAATTTTTAAATAAAAAGTTATTCTAATCTTAATGAGTAGCAAATTCTGATTTGTAACAGAAGATTTGTTTATTCAATGTGATATATGTGCCTCCATTTTTTTAAAACTACAATTAGATTGAATTTTTAATATGGTATTTCGACATGGAAATTTCAAATCCAAACCGCTCATTTTGATACTATCATTAATCCGTGTTTCTATCTTCTTTTCTTTTACAGTTAATGCAATTGAGTTTCTCATGGTTTTTAAAATTCTTATGTTCTTACTACACACCAAATTTAATTTGTGTATTAATTGGTCCTTTTGCCTGACGATACCGCAGTTTTTCCGATCGAGTTTTTCACAGTTGCATATTCACATGGTTTTTTAATTTTCGATTTTTTTATTTCAATATTATTAAAAAAAGAGAGATGTAAGGTGCACATTTGTGCTATTACTTTTGGATGCTTGCGATTTTCTCTAAATCCTTGCAATATTTTGAGAGGTTTTTTTCGAAGTTATTGTGTTGATTTTCCAATGATTTTTTTAAATCCTGGTATAAAAGTATTATGATAAGGGAAATTTAAATTGCTCACCTGAATATTCACTATTTGACAGGCAATAATTCTGTAATTTTTTTTCAATCCATTTTTTGGCTGTTACCGCTACTGATTTCTGCATATTTTTAAAAATTTCGATATTTTCAATATATTATTTATTACAACATTTGAATCTTGAAACATACTTTTAATTAACCACTTTTTGATGCTTCAGATAGCAGGATTTCACCGTAAATATCCGTGATTTTTAACTTCAATCTTTTTTCAGTTCAATTTTTTTAGTTATTGTCATAGATTTCACAATTTTTTTCCCTGCGAAAACAAAAGATTATGCTTTTTTTTAAAATATATATATTCCTTTATGTGTTTAAGAGGAAAAGAAATTATATATTGAAAAATTTTCTATTTTTGTGCACAAAAATCTTATATGTACAGAAAAGAAAGAAAGAAAAAAATATTGTAAGAAAATTTCAGATAATTTCTTCTTTCAGCAATGTCCATATCTTATGATAGAATTAGGGGGTCAATTTATATACTGTATATGACCAGTTATTTTCTGAAATGAAAAGAAGGTTGGAATTTTAATGACCTAAACATTTATTATTAAATTTGTTTGAAAATTCTGTTTTTTTCCTTCATAAAGCATTTTTCTTGAATTTGAACCAAATATTCATTTAGTGAGGGTTATATTCCATCTATTTGTGCAGGAATATGGAGTTAACTGTTCTGACATCACTGTGGAGAGAGTTTGGAACCACATTGATGTTTTTGCCTTTGGTCATTTGTTTGGATGGGCAATGAAAGCATTACTTGTGAGGCATTATGGAATATGCTGGACTATAAGCGTTACCTGGGAAATCACTGAGGTAAGTCTTCAATTCTCTAGAACCATATCTTTTCAAATAAAGGATTTCTTGTCCTATGATGCATGGGTGTATTCTGATAAAATATTTAATTGACAGAATTCTGCTTTTCAATTATGAATATAGTTTTTTGAAATCCTTGAACTTCACTTATTAATTTTTCTTGTGGAAATTCGCTATTAACTGACAGAGCTTCAAAATTTCCTTCTCCCTTTTGATTGTTTGATTCAGTTAAGATAACATGTAAATTGCAATTCTAAATGTGCAAAATTTGTACACGAGGGGCCGTCCATTAATGTATAAGTACTTAAGCAGGGTTGCCACAGGTAACTAAAATGTGACTATATGCAACTATTTTCAAACTGAGGCAACTATGGCAACTTTTTTTTGCCTGAAAAGGTTAATAAAGCGACTATTTTCAGAAAAAAGAGACTATTGGGAGACTTTTCTGTGCTCCCAATGATGTTTTTTTTAGTATAAATTGGGTTGATAACCCTGGACACAATGATTTTTTTTCTTAAAAAAATAAAAAATTTTGAAAATTTTGAATTGCAAATTTGAGTTATCACTTTTTAATGTGCTCAATTTGCACAGATTCCATTGTAAGTCTATTTTGTATCTGCTACCAAATTTTGCTGGATTTAAAAAACCTAATTTTTAATATGATTGTAGGATGTGTGATTTTCGAATTTGAATAATCACTTTTCACATATGTATATATATTTTCTAAATCAATTATTGATAAAAGGGAAAATTATTTAGAAAAAGTATGTTTTTTTTTTAATAAAGTTTTTTTTAATGGAATTCTAGTAATGAAAATATTTAATTTTCCTTAAATATACTAATTTTTTTACATAAAAATTTATTGCTAGAACACTAACGCTTAAAGAAGAATTATCATATTTGGAACCAACCTGACTAAATTGATCATGTTATATGACAACTAAGTCATTTAATAAAATTTTGCTAATATTATTGAAAAAATTTTGTTCTTATTTAGGCAACTATTTTCATGCTTTAGGCTACTGAAGCAACTATTTTGTTCATTTTTTTCTGTGGCAACCCTGTTAAGGCTTCTTCATTTTGCTGGATTCCTGGTCTTAATACTTTGTAGTTATTGTATGAAACAAAAAAACAAAAAAAACATTAGCGCAAGATTTTAAAACAGTATAAATTTAGCATCCTTTCACTTGTATTGTTTGCAAATGCAATAACAAATTCTCTAGTCAAATTGAAAAACAAAAATTTTACTTTTTTTTTTTTTTTTCAAATTAAATAACTAATTTAGTACTGAGTTAATATGCTTCAAAGCTATATTATAAGCAGGGGTCTGTCCAGGCATTTTGTAAAAGGTCCGTTTTTGTAAAATTGTGAAAAAATTACTCGTAATTTGTGAATATAAAATAAACNTTTGAATTGCAAATTTGAGTTATCACTTTTTAATGTGCTCAATTTGCATAGATTCCATTGTAAGTCTATTTTGTATCTGCTATCAAATTTTGCTGGATTTAAAAAACCTAATTTTTAATATGATTGTAGGATGTGTGATTTTCGAATTTGAATAATCACTTTTCACATATGTATATATATTTTCTAAATCAATTATTGATAAAAGGGAAAATTATTTAGAAAAAGTATGTTTTTTTTTTTTTTAATAAAGTATTTTTTGATGGAATTCTAGTTATGAAAATATTTAATTTTTTTATATAAAAATTTATTGCTAGAACACTAACGCTTAAAGAAGAATTATCATATTTGGAACCAACCTGACTAAATTGATCATGTTATATGACAGCTAAGTCATTTAATAAAATTTTACTAATATTATTGAAAAAAATTTGTTCTTATTTAGGCAACTATTTTCATGCTTTAGGCTACTAAAGCAACTATTTTGTTCATTTTTTTCTGTGGCAACCCTGTTAAGGCTTCTTCATTTTGCTGGATTCCTGGTCTTAATACTTTGTAGTTATTGTATGAAACAAAAAAACAAAAAAAACATTAGCGCAAGATTTTAAAACAGTATAAATTTAGCATCCTTTCACTTGTATTGTTTGCAAATGCAATAACAAATTCTCTAGTCGAATTGAAAAACAACTATTTTACTTTTTTTTTTCAAATTAAATAACTAATTTAGTACTGAGTTAATATGCTTCAAAGCTATATTATAGGCAGAGGTCTGTCGCATTTTTTAAAAGGTCCGTTTTTGGAAAATTGTGAAAAAATTACTCGTAATTTGTGAATATAAAATAAACGTTAAGTCACATTCTTTCAACCAGGGTCTGTTTCTGTGAATTTGTGTAAATAGGATCCGTTATTGCAAAAAAACTTTTTCAATTAATTTTTAAATTGTAAAGACATACAAGATTATGCTTAAAACTGTAAAATTATAGTTGAAAAATTAAATTTTAAAAAATAAACTGCAATTGCAGCTGCTAAATTAGCAATGCAACACATAAATATTTGGTATTTAGCCTATACTGCTGAATGCAGAATATTCATTTCGGACGAATAAAGGAAGAAGTGTGTGCCGAAGACAAAATTTAGTTCGTTTACATCTGTCTTTCCTTCCCCCTTCCTGGAAAGGGTTTATTCGATTAACAAAACAATAATGAAGATAAACAAATTTGTGAAGGGTTCAATTAAAAGATAAATTATTTTGTGAAGGGTCCGTTTTTATGAAAAAATGTTTTGTGAAGGGTTCGTTAACGAACCCAAATTTCTTCTAAACAGACCCCTGGTAAGCCTTAAGTATTTAGTTAAAACTTGACTAATCAAAAACTAAAAAGATTTGACATATTTTAGCATGAAAATAAGCAATCAAATTTCTTGTTTGTGTTTTGTACCTCACATCTGAGAGAAAAAATTTGCTTAAGCATCAACATTCAAGAAAATTAATATTTGGGATCCATGTTATAACTCAGGGTAAGTATGAAAGATGTATGGTGTCAACAATTCAAAACTACATCAATATTACCAGAAATGTCTTTTGCATTCTTATTTTCTGAATGTTCCCCACTTCATGAATGGAATTGTCAAAATAAAGAGAATTTCGATACATTTTCTCCCTAATTGTAGTTTTTTACTATCCCTGCTCTGTTGGATGTGTCTCATTTTTCAATTCTGCTAAAGTTAAAGCTTAAACTATACCCTTGAGATTTCATGAACTTATTTTATCCAACAGTAGTGAACAAAAGCAGAAATTTTTTAAGCAAATAAAATTTTTATACTACTTCCATCAGAACTTGAAAACTCGACCATTACATCTGACCTTTCAGATAGAATTGTTTATACAGTAAAACTGGTATAAGTTGACCACTTGTGCTGCATTGTTTTAGTGGTCAACTTAGACAAGTGGGCAACTTATAGAGGGGATGGGTCATTGTTTACTTTTTCGTTTCCTATATGATGTTGCTACATATTTAAAAAAGATATTTTTGCTTGACTTAAAAATTTTATTTCACAAATAGCCGAATGAATATCTTAAGAAATGTGTTTAAACCTGAATGAACTTCAATTTGTTACATATAATTCTAATATTTAACTAACTTTTAAAAAAAAATAATTGCATTAGTTATGCATGTGAAGTGTTTAATTTCTTAAAATATCAGAACACGAAAACGTGTAATTTGAAAACTTTAACAAAACAAAATTATTTCAACACTTTTTATTTTGTTATTACTACACTTACAAACCCATTTGTTACAAAAATATTCCTTCATTGTTGTTTGGCGGCAACTTTACATCAGCCCAATGTTTTTCAATACAAACATGGAGATCCATTATTTTTTCAGAAATAGGTTGTTTATGAGATACATAACACATTAAATTTTGAACACAGTCTAAATCTTCTCAAAAAGTTAGAGGTGTCTTCTCAGTGTTAGTATCATTAAAATGACTTCCTCTTCCTTATCTTCTGTTTCTGGAAGTTGTGTTTCTGGTCTGGATATTTGTACCGATCTCCTCTGCACTCTCTTCAACTTCTTCATGCAGAACTAAGTCATTGTCAAATTCTATCTCATCTACCAGCTCTTGCTGAATGCTTACTGGCACAGTCTGAATATCACTCCTCAAACTAAATCCATTTGTATCGTCTTTAGTTGTTATTTCTTCAACAACTTTAAATCCTACTTTGTAGAATGATTTAGAGATAGTTGAAGAAGGTAAGTTAACGTATCGCATCGTATCAGCCAACGTATTGCATCGTATACATTCACTGATTTAGTAAATTCCGAAACATCATTGCATTGTTCAATTTTTGTAACTAGACATTTTAACATTAGTTTATGATAATGCAACATAACGGCGCAAATAATGCCTTGATCAAGAGGTTGAACAAGTGATGTAAAATTTGGAGGCAGAAATGCAGTCTGAACATTTCCAAAAGATTTAACAATCTTTCGTCTTGACACATTATCAATGAATAAAATTATCCTCCTGTGCTGTTTCTTCATCTGTGAATTAATGTTTTTTAACCATTCTTCAAAAGTACAGGAATTCATCCCCGCTTTACGATTGCTTTTCCAAGTCACTGGGAGATTTTCAACTTTTACACAGTTTCTTTTAAAAGCTCAAGGATTTGCTGAATATCCAATTACTAAAGGTTTTAGTTTTTCGCCTGTAACACTGCAGCACCGTAAAATGGTCAGTCTCTCTTTCTGCATTTTCCCTACAAAACATTTTTCATTTTTGGAAACAAGTGATCTTGTGGGTAATTGACGAAAGAACAGTCGAGTCCTGTTTCGTCAGCATTGAATTGATTTTCAATGGGATAATCTTTTACAAGTTCAGAAAGTTTCTTTTTCCAGTCCTCTGCTGCATTAGAATCTGCTAAGGCTGATTCACCACAAAGGTTATGAAAATTTATGTTATTTCTTGATCTGATCCATCCATTACTTGCATTGAATTCTGAAACTCCTAATTAAATTGCAATTTCCTTTGCCAGAAACGGGAATATTTTTGGAGTGACATCTTTTATAAAACTCCCAAACTGCCACATTAATTTCATCATTCGATGTTTTTCTTAGTTTTCTTTTTCGGTCATTACCACAGTTCTCCAAAAACCTCTTAGTTATTTCTTCCCTATTTTTTACTGTATTGAACACTGTAGTTTTAGAAATTCCCTGACTTTCTCCTTTTTCAATTAAGTTTAATATTTCGTATTTTTTTTTATCAAAGTTCAACTATCTTTCTTGTTGGAGCTATTTTATTTTGAAGTTTATCACAAACTGTCCACCTAGCTTAAAAACTTCTCGTAAAATAAATAAAACTTTCTAAGAAAAATAAGTCATTTTAAACTTCTCAGCAAATTTCAAAGAAAGAACCTCACACATGACTTCACTGAAAAGAATTTATTCAAATAAAGGATCAAAGCATATTTCAGAACATTCGTTTATTCAAATGCTCACTATTGCAACTGGAAGAGCAACTTTTCAAACACGCCTGTTTTCAATGAATGAATGAAAGAACTGGTCAAAAGCTGACTCCCTACAATTTCCCCAGGTGGTCAACTCACAAAAGGATTTAGATTAGCTTTTTACACTATTTCACCAAACAAGTGAAATTTTAACATACATTGCAAAATGACAAAAAAATTTTAGAATTTTTTTTCTGGTCAACTTATGAGGATTTTAGAATAGAATTTCATAATACTCCTAGACAAAATTGACTTATTTCAGTGGTCAACATACAAGATAGACAGATGGTCAAGTTACAAAGGTTTTGCTTCTTTATACTGTTTTATACACACTCAAGAAAGCTCTACACAAGAAAACAAAAGCACCACACTTCACGACGACATGGACTGTATTTATTAAAAAGGAAGGAAGTAAAAATGTATATGTATATTAACAGCGCCATCTATTAAGTGGCAAGGCAAGGCGTGAACATTCACCATCAAANTTTCACCAGAACTTTAGAATAATATCATTTCGCAAAATAATATATCTGTTTAAATTGTCCATCTATAGTGGCGGTCAAAATTATTTTAATTCTTATTTATTAAAATATTAGTGTGTAACGTTTGCTCTAGGGAAAATATTTTCTGAAACTATGGAAACTCTGTAATTGTTAGAAGGTATGTGTTAAACCCCACATTGCTGAGGTAAAAACTAAGTTTAAAATTGCTTCATTTTGAAAAAGTGATTAATTTTTTTGTTTTGTTCAGTGAGGTTATTATAGGCACTTCTTTTTTCCACTACTATAAACTTCCCTACATTTAGCATTTAACTACATTTTAGCTCTTCCCAGTGACTTTATTAGATTTATCAAAGCACATTTCAAAAGGATAATTATTATTAAAACAATATTTGATTGCTTTATAGCTTATACTTGATAATTCATAAAAGCAAATAATTTCCGCTATTACATATCTGTTCCATATCCAGAAATGTATCTTTCAACATGTAGCAGGAAATAGAATTTTCTGGATAATAGGTCTTTCGGATAAACTAAGATTAAAACATGTACTATTCAATACAGAAAAGATCATGTCAATTTTTATACAATTACATTTCGTTATTGATTCTTGATTTAATAACATTTAACTAAAGTATGTTTACTCTAATATAAATGTCATTGATAAAAGGAAATAATAATTCATGAGAAGTCGGCCAAGATAAATTGATCTTGCATGAATATAGGCAGTCAGCTGGTATTTCTCTTTAACACTAAAAATATTATTCTTCATTAATATTTATTCCTCTCACCAAAGTTTTTTTTTTTCTTCTTCTTTTTTTTTTCAATTTCTTATCAATAATTAAAGGAGTGAATGTTTAACTCTCCCAATTGCAGCTAGATGAAATGAAAGAAAAAAAATATTGATTTTTTTTTTTTATGTATGAAAGGAGAAAAAATTTGTTTATTCTGATTGTTGAAATAAAGATTTCCAGAAGACTGAGATCTGAGTATGGGGAAAAACTATTCAATGTTAAAGCCAGTATTTTTGTCATGATTTTGAAATTTTGAGCTATCAAAAAATTTCATAATTGATATTTGTCTGTTTATTAAATGAATGTTTGGCAGCTCAATTCAGAAATAATAATGACAAAGTCAGTTAAAATATAAATTCGTTTTTCAGGTTGTGTTTGCTCATCTTCTTCCGAATTTCAGTGAATGTTGGTGGGATGCCATGATTTTAGATGTCCTCATCTGTAATGGTTTGGGCATTTACCTGGGAATGGTTGCATGCCGCTACCTTGAAAATGAAACCTACGAATGGGAGAGCATCAAGTAAGGACTTTCTCTCTCTCTCTTGCTTTTGTCAGTAACAAGCAGATGTGTGCGGATGCATGTAGCAATGATGCTTCTTAAAAGAGGAGTGTAAAGATGTATAGTGCGACTTGTAAGAGACATCAGTCTCATGTCGTGGCGAGTGCCCGGGTTACGAGGAAAAGTCACTTAGAAGAGAAGTGTGGGGTGAATAGTTTTGCCTTGATCTTGGCATAGGCCAGCGTGATTAAACCAATCAGCACCTTCATTTCTCCATTGCACCCCCATTAGAAATATGCTCTCGCTTCTTACCATAGCAGCAGACAGCGCTAGACTTTTAGTCTGAAAGAGTTCTCCTCAAAGCCGCACAATAGTCTCTAGACAGAGCTTATCAAATCAAAGAGTAAACGTTGGGGCGATAAATATTCATAAAAATTAGAATTCTTTTTAATGTAAAGGTAAGTGAAAGTTATTTTTTTGTAAAAGTTTTCTAATTCTAAAAAAATAATTTTCATTCTTTTAGATGCAAAATAAATAAATTTTAATTTCATTATTAAATTTGTTTGATATAATTATTTTGCTTAAAGCATTTATTTTCCTAATAAAAAATTAAATTTTGCAATAAATGTAATCCTAGTAATCTAGAAGCATACTTATGCATTGATTGGATGCTCCTTACAATTAAGTAATTCAAACCTATCCCCCTTTGTCTCCCTCTCTGCTCACCAATACTTGTTTAGATGTCATTATCAAATAATTTATAATATTTTATTTTAGATCAATTCCGAGTACTAAAGGAAAAATTCGCCGGGCTGTTTTACAGTTTACTCCTGCCAGGTAATATTAAAATTTTTTTTTTCAAATTTGTATTTCTTAGTTACATTAAAACCTGAGTATCCAAAACCACAATATAATTTATACTATCTGATGTGTATTTTTAGCTGTAATGCACATATATACTCTAAATGGGTTTTTTTTCTTCGTTCAGACGTTTTTTTCAAAAGAGTAAAAATAAAATATTATGCAGACATTGTACTTTGACCGAAGGAAGAATGCAAAATTTCACTTGCTAGAGCCAGCATTTACTTTCTGTTATAATGAAATGTAAATAATGAAAATAAAAATACTGTTACGCTATTTTACTGCTAAAGAAATGAAAATGATACTGCTGATATGTCAGCATCATCTTTACAACACAGGTTAAAAGACCTTACAAGTAGAAATGTCACCATCGATTCCCAACATTTTTTGAATCACTTTGTAAGTTAAAAATTTTTCAACGTCTTTTTATAAAGAAATTATGATGATAAAATCTTTAAGTATTTAGAAAAGCTTCTCTTACGATACACTTTTCTTACCATGCCTTTAAATTAATTTTTATTTATTACGTATATCAGTGTGTATTTATATTGAAAACATTTTTTACTCTAATTCAATAAAAATGATTTCATGACCAAAATTTATAAGTTAATGTATAAAAATAAATTCAACTTATCATTTTTCAGTTTTAATGAAATGCTTAATTGAATATTTTTCTTATATGCAGACATGTGATTCTTCTGCTAATTCTCAGAGTTCCGCTAATATAAAATTTAAATTTCCTTAAATATGCAAAATCGCGTTATAGAGATGTTTTTACGCTCTTACCAGCATCCTCTTTTTTTCTTCTTAATTTCTCATTTGCTCCCAATAATGACTTTCTTTACTCAGATTTGTTAGAGGATAACGCAACTTTGGATAAACTTCGAGAAGTCAAGACTGGAAAAAAAAATTCATGAAGAACTTTGGCAAGAATTAATGAACTACTGAGGCAAACACAAAAGTATAAAATTGATAATCCTAAAAGTAATTCTGAAATGGCTAACATTTAAAAGATATTTTACTAAAAAAAAATTTTTTTCCTTCCATTTTTTAAAATTTATATTTTAATCAGTAACAATTTTATTGCTAATTCCAGTTTGTAACAGAAGAATCATTTAATCAATGTAATATATTTCCCCTTTTTATTTGCCTACAATTAGATCGAATAAATTTTTAGTATGATCATACTACATGGAAATTTTAAATTGCACATTTCAGTAATCACTTTTCAGCATACTTGTTACCATCATAAATCTGTGTTTCAATCTTTTTTTCTTTGTTTGTAGTTAATGCAATTGATTTTCTCATGTTTTTTAAAATTCCAATATTATTACAACACTTAAAATTTGAACCACACATTTGAGTAATCAGTTTTTGACATGCTTTTTGCCAATGATACCAATGTATTATGAATCGACTTTTTCATAGCTGATATTCATGTTTATTATTTTTTTAACTCCAATATTTTAATACGATATTATTAAGAAACAAACAAATTCAAATCGCACATGTGAGTAATTACTTATTGTAACAGACGATTTGTGATAATTCATGCATTATTTTATAGTTTTTTTAGGGGGTGGTCAGTTAACGCTGTTGATTTTCACATGATTTTTTAAAATTCCGATTTTATTATGATATCGGAAATTTGTATCGCTCACCTTAATAGTCACTATTTGTCACCTCAATAGTCACTATTTCTAGAATTTTTTTTTTCTCAGATCAATTATTCGACAGTTATCATTTCTTATTTTCACATATTTTTTAAATTCCTTATTCTTAAGTTGATATTAGTTACTATAATACTTGAATCTCAAAATATGAATTTAATTAATGAAAAAAACTACATTGAGAAAAATGTAAGTAGGTATTGCAACATTTCCTATAAGGTGAGGAGAAGGGATGTAAACCTATTGATTGGAGCTGCAAATAATTACGTTGAAAGTGATAGTTTCTAAAAAGAGCCAAATGTTAAAACTTAATGTGGTACTCAAACTTGTATTCAGGAACTAGGGTATTTTACTATCTCCAAAACTAATTAAATTGGTGTAAAAATGCTAAATGATTTATAAATGGACTATGAAGATATAGTAAGTTGCAACTGCGTAAAACAAACTTCTGTGACATTTTATCTTGGTGAACTGTTAATGGCATGAGTAGGAATTAAGATGAATTCATAAAATGATGTCAGGGTAAATCATGATGTCACTTTGAAGAAACAAATATTTTATCTCACATTTTATATCGATGCATTCTGTGCTCCTCACGAAAAAAAAATATTCCGTTGTATTTGCTGTTTTGTCTTAACCTTGCTTGTTTCATCTGTTGTACTTTTTGGTTGTGAATAACTATAGTTAATTAGATTTTTTAATGTGCACTTCAAAAATGTTACTCATTAAACGTCCCTCAAATATTCAATTTAAAATCTGATTTTTTTAAAATCAGATTTTAAATACCCTGAAAAAGTGATTATTTTTTTTAATGTTTTCCTTAATTTTTCTTTTTTTTTTCTATAGTTGGACTCATGTGAGATGGTTGGATCCCAATTGTACTTATATGAGATTTTTTGCTGTATATCAATTGGTATTTTTTTGGCAGGTAACGATTTTCCCCCCTTTCTATTCCTTTTATTAGCATTAACTACCGAAAATATTTTATGAAATTTCCGCGATGCTTTGTTCTGAAAGTACTTTTCAGTTCCATATTCATGATCGAAATGTGCTATAGGTGGCGTAGATTTTAATTCTCTACCTAAGGCAACACTTTACATTTATTATTCCTTACATTTTATTATTCCTTATGCTGAAATTATGAAAGTAATTTCCTTAAAAAAAATTTAATTGCTTATTATGTTATATTAATTTTTAAAATTTATTTTGCGTAATTTTCCTTAAAACTGAATTTAGATATTTGAGAAATAAATTAATGTAAATCAAGAAACCTTTTTATAATTTACAGTTTTGTGAGCCACAATAAAAATTAATGTAACTTTGTTTATTTCAATTTAATTTTTAATCTATACAGTAAACTAAGATTTGTAAGCAGGTTTGCTGTTAATACAATTTTTAAATAGTATTGATTTTCTGAGTGAGATTCTGATATCAAGTGTTGACCTGAGTTTTTCTTTTAAATTTGCACAAACGAAGAAATAGAATTCAAAAAATAACCAAGAGTTGACTATATGAATGATATATTATAATCAGCGCTTTTTGTGTATTTTAAAAACCCTTTTAAAAAATTAAATTGAAAAACTATGTGCAATGAAATTTTGTGTAAGAAAAATTTTAGGTTTTGATTAAATTTTTTTTGGGTATTGTGTCTAATCATTGCTTATCACTTTAGTAAATTCTGTACATCCTTCCTGTACTTGTACCAGACTACAGATTGGCACATCTGTAGAAGAAGATTGTGGCAAAAAAATATATATTTTTTCGTAATTTTTTGAGGGCATGTTTTTAGATATCGAAGATCAAATTCGAAGTCATGTATTTAGATTAGATGTCGAAGGTCAGATCGGGTCATAGTCATACCTTGACCTAGTGTAAGAAGGTCAGATAGGGTATTAATTGAAAGATCAATTCTTTAGCTTTGCAATAGTGTATAAAATTGGCTTTTACTACAATTAGGAAAAAAGTTTCAATCATTTATGTGCATGCTAGTTAGTCATTTTTTTTTTCTGAAAATTTTATATTTTCAGCTTTTTATAACTTGGGGAATTTCCATACTAAAAATCTTAAAATTGGAAGAATTAGAAATTTAAGATAGTCAATTTGTAGCAATGACCTCTCTGCATCATTTGTCCAAAAAAACTGCGATGGAGGTCTACAGAAAGACTGGAAGCTAAATGTGAGTCCTTCTGTAGTTCATAAACTTTGGCAACATTTCCTTACTATGGGTTAGGCATCGCGAAAGTTCAGCTAAATGCTACGACAAATACTGATGATCAACATTCATTAATATGTTCATCCTGAAATAAAACTCCGAATCGGTTCGGATCGTCTCTCGGGGCAGCCACCCGAAGATAGGTAAAAGATCTAATGTGGCACCATGAACTTGGTTTGTTTGCTAGGCAACCAGAAATTTGCGTGCCACTCTCGTCACACCCTAGAAGAGAAGGTTTAAAGTTGGCGAGGCAGCATGTCCTCTGAATCACTGACCAATGAAGGGCTGTTCTCTGCATAGATGAGTCCAGATTTATCAATTATGAGCATTGTTTGTTTTGGAGAAAACCCGATATCATCCATAAAACATCTTTGAAAGAAATGCATATCAAGTAAGCAGTGTCTGTGCTAATGCTCATAGAGGTTGACATTCTTGTTATTTAAATTGCCTTTGTGTTAGTGCGATAGGTGATGGCTACAAGACAATGATCCAACAATGAACAGTGAATGATTATCTTCAGCAGGAAACAATTCAGTGCGTGGAGTGTCTAACTCAATCACCAGATTTGAAATCTTGCATGTTTAGGATGTTTTAGGAGGACATGTAGCTGCTCTCCATCCTCCTCCTCAGACCCTTGCATCTGCTTTGCAGAATGGAACTTGTAAACTGCATACTTGAAAGCATCAGACATCGCTGTATGTGTTGTATGACTGCCAGAGGTGATCATACTCCATATTGAAGATACTTTTTCTATTCCGAACTGGCACACCTGATTCATACAATTCATACATATGATAATTTCTGTAACACCACAAATGTTTGGCTAATACTTTTTATATGTATTATTATGCGCACTATCAATGTGTCATTTTCATTAAATTCTATGTGTGACTTTTTGAGTTATGATAAATTTTTTTATTTTTCCTTTATTTATGATAACCAGTGTAAAATGAGAAATTTCAACTAGTATGGAAATTTTCTGAGATAATCAACTCAGCATGGGGGAAGTATCCTTTCGAAGAACCCTTGATCATCATGAAAATATTTCTGAAAGTTTTGATATTTTGAGCCCCTTTGATTCACGTATCATACTTTTTTTACAATGACCTTGCATCCCGATTGTGACATTTGATACATTATAAAATTATTATTGCATGTAATCATTACTCATGATCATTTATTACAGGTGATTTCTTTTAGACCTTAAGATTTATTTAACAAATTTTAAATTGATTTACTGCACAAAAAAACACTATATTTTATGTATTATTACTTATTTTAAAATCATTTGTCAGGACTTACTATATTTGTAATTTAGTGTAATGGTTGATCAATGTGGGTTATATTGTGATTTTATGCAGGAAAAGGAAGTAGTGAGATACAAATAGCAAAACTACTGTAACTGCTGCTTTTCTTCTTATTTTGTACTGCTGTTTAAAAACAGTGGTAGCTGTTCGTAGTGTTAAAATTGTTTGGAAGAGGAAAAAAACTAGCTCATAGTATTTCTTGGCAACAACTTTTCACTTTAGTTTAGTACAGAAATAAGGTTTGAACTCCAGTAATTTTTCGTTTCTGATTGGTAGAAATCTTTGCTATTCTGTCGATGAACATAATAAGAATGGCCCAGTGGACAAACGTTAATAAGAATTACGTATCACTATTGCTAATGTTTCAATTTGTCATAACGAACAATAACTAATTTATAACTTCGGTCACCCCTCCAAATGTGATTGTACACTCTTGAAACATTGATGCTACTTCAATGTAAGTGAACGTATTTTATCTGTAATTTTTGATGCGCTTTATTTCTTAGACAAAATAAAAGATCATTAAAAACTCACAAAATTTCAAATACAGTAAAACCTCCTGCCATAGACACTCCTGCAAAATGGCTGCTTCTCAGTGCAGACATAATTTTAATACCCCATGAATTTCCCATTATGTACAGTCCGCAAAAAAAAAATAATAAATTAATCACCCTGAATAACCTTTGTTCTAATGATCGGATTTTCACGAACTAAGTGTCAATCTTAATGGTTCCTTGGGGTGACCTCAAATATGCTAATTAATTAGTGCTAACTATTAATTAAGTAACGAAATCAGACACAAAAACTTACCTTATCTGAATAAACATACCTTTTTTTTTTACATATTTGGAGTCTTAACCTTCAAAATATAAAGGGGGTAGCCGCAATCTGGGAAATATGGTCCCCATAATTTGGTCAAGAGAGCGATCCAAAGTTCTTATCCTTTTATGTTAATTTCACTTTTTACGTTTTTAGTCATATTTTTAAAACTAATCATATTTTTAAAACTAATAAAGCAATTCAAAGAAAATTACACCCACTCATAAAACTCATTTACCCAAAGATAATTTCATGAAAAAAATAATTTTTAATAATTATTAATTATTTTTTATTATTTAATTTAATTGAGGATGAAAAAATTTTGAATTATAAGGTATGAATTTTTTTATACCATATTAATCTACATATTTTTCAATTGAAAAATCTAAAGTTTCAACTGTTTTTATTTATTAGAAGCTGAGAAAAATTAAAATTAATTATTTTTAAAAAAATAATTTGGCGACAATAAAGAAATAACTAATTGGGGCGATTAATATTAAAATGTGATAAACTTGGGAGGAACTTGACTTCGCGCGCGTAGCGTAAAATTTCATTCATATTTTTTTCGCTAATAATCGTTTGCTAATCTTTTTATTTTTATTTCTTTCAAACTATAAAACGCGATGTTTCCTTCTTAGCCGTTTAATAATTTATTTGTAATTTAGTAAAGAAATTTGAATGAAGCATTTTGAATAAAAGACACTTTATTCAACGAATGTCTAGTTTTATAAAAGCGTGCTTCTGATAGAATATGATTGTACACCAGATTGTGCTTATTTAATGTGATTATTTTTTGATTTTGTTTTTCAATAACTGATACAATTTCAATAACATACATACGTGTGCATAGATTTGGAATAATATATTTATCGATTTCTTGAATATATATTTTATAAATATTAATAAAAATACGTAGTCAACATTTTTAAACATCTCTCACAACATCGCAAATTTCTCAACATCTTGTAGGGTAAACTAACCAATGAAGGAACACTTAAGCTCAGCTTACCTTTGAAAAAAAATCATAAAAATTTCAAAATTTTTAATTTTAGCTAAAAGATGGTGTCGACCTATTTGTTATTTAATGCAAATTATGTAAAAAAAATTTAGATGACTTACATAATATTGTTTTAAGCTTTTGGTGGTTTAAATAATAAGTAGTAAGTTAACCAAGTGAAGGAACAGTTCTTACCAGTGGATAAACTTTAAATTTTCCAGTGAATGAACACTTAATTTTGAGAATGTTTGATGCTCCTTTGGAATCCATAAGTCACACGAATGTCTAAAAACAAGATTTTTCTTGGAATTACAACATATAACGACAGTTAATGTGGAAAATGCTAATTTTTTTTCACTCATGGAATGGAAAGTAAAATATGTTTGAATACATAATTTTAAAAAAAATGTTTTTCATTTTTCTTCTCACAGTTTAATACTCCATTGTAAATTATGAATGTTTAGCATTGTGTAATCCGATGATGTTTTTATTATTATTATAATTAGATCACTTTTCTGTTTACTCTTTCCCCCGTATTTTTTGAAGCTTTTTTTTTTTATCTTTTTAAGTNCTCTTTAAATTTTTGTTCTTTTTCTGAAGTTAATGCAAAAAAGTAATTTATTCCTTTTTCTTTTAATTTAACCTTCCTCTTTTTTCCACATTTTTGGCCAATGTAAATGTTTCTTCGAAATTTTTATTTATTTTCCAGTACCATTTCTAGAATTCCTCACTGGATATTAAATGAGAAAAGGGAGTTTCGAAGTTTGAGTAAAACCCATCTCTCATTGACTTATATCTAGTGGGTCTTCAGCAGTACTTACCATTTACTTATGCAACCAATTGTTTTTGCAACTAATAATCCCTCAAGAGAACTTATCGACTTTTTTTGGCGGTTTTCTGGACTATCGCCAAATATATAAACCTTTATTGCAATCCAATTTACAACCCAATTTTTTTAAAATTATGTCTACCCCCCCCCCCTAATTCAAGTGTCTAGATTCCAAATATGTAAAAAAAATATATATATGTTTATTCAGAGAAAATACTTTTTTGTGTCTGATTTTGTAACTTAATTAATAGTTAGCACTAATTAATTAGCATATTTGAGGTCACCCCCAGGAACCATTATGAGTGACACTTAGTTCGTGAAAATCCGATCATTAGAACGAAAGTTATTCAGGGAGATTTTTTTTTTGTTTTTTTTGCAGACTGTACATTCTTCGCAAATGTTACACTCCCATAACCGGACAGTCATTTTTGCACTAAAAAGTTATTTTCTATCTCTTCAAACCAGACGCTATTTTTTTTCTACATTTGAAATTATTAACCATTTTCTATCAAGTGATGGGTAGGTGTTAGGGATGTAAACCTAATAATTGAAACTGACTGAAGACGAACAGCTTCTATTCAGTATCATATGACTAACTTGAATATCTGTGTAAATAGGAGAAACATATTTATTTATCTGTAGCTACATCTAGAATTATGTATTTATATAAAACTTTTTCATATATTCTTTTTTGTACAGAAAATTTTCTTTTTTAAGGTTAAATAAATATCCTTGTAGATAGTTATCGTAGATTATTTAATTTATTTTTACATCTTTGAAAATATTCTAAAAACAATTTATGGTGTTTTACTTTGTTATAAGGGTACCCTTATCGTAAATGGAAAATTTTTTCGGTCCCAAGAGTGTCCACTTAACGGAGGTTTCACTGTACATGATTTTTTCCTAGTGCTTTTTAAAATAGATAATCACTAAAAGAAAAAATGCATGAAAAATGTTTTGGTATAACAAACTGGCCCAAACAAACGTGAATAAATGTTTCTGAATTATTTCTCATGTTTAAATAAGCAAAGTTTTTATTCAAAACCATTTTATACATGGGTGTAAATTAAGTTTTTCAGCAAACTCAGTCTCCTAAGTGTAGTGAAGTACTTGAGCATTTAAAAAAGAATTTGCAACTAACTACAAAAATAGTAGTTTTTCTGACCACTGCTTTTACGTTATTTTGCATTTTTTCCCCCTTTCTATTTCAGGTGACTGAGTTAAACACATTTTTTCTTAAGCATATCTTTGAAATTCCACCTGGTCATCCGTTAACAGTTGGAAGGATTGCTCTAATAGGTCTAATTGTTGCTCCAACATTAAGGTATGTTGCACAATCTGAATGGCTTTTTTCTTCATTAGTTTCTACTTATTAGTCTGATTTACAGTAATCAGGTCGATTCAAATATCTATATTTTTTTCCTTTATTTAATAATAGATATGTTGTTCTTGAACTCTTTATCTACATACTCCTTATTTGTGTTTTAAATAATTATTATTAGTAACAATTTTTAAAATAATGAAAAACATTGTAAATGGATATATTCTGACAGAATATTTCCATCACAGATCGTGCACTTTCTTCCTCTAGTATCAGTTTAATATTTTTTTTTGTTTTTTTACTTTGGCATAGAATGAATAAAACATTAGCAAGAACTGCTGAATAAATTGTGAAATAATCTCTTTTATGAGTTATATTTATTTAAAGTTCAATAACTAGGGTTGTTACAGGTCAAGAAGAACACAAAATTCTCAAATAAATTTTGATTTTAAAGAAGGAGCCCAATATAGAAATTTTTTTAACTAAAATATTTTTATCTCGATATCCTTTATTAAATCTCTTGGTTTGTAAAATGTTTCATTTGGAGTAATAAATCTTACTAAATTTAAGAAATGAACATGCTTTATTTTTAGATAGAACTATTACAGATTTATTTCTTAGAATTCAATGTCTGATTTCAGTCTAAAGAAGGTTTTATTTTCAGACAGTACTACAGTTACGTTACTGATCCTAGATGTAAGCGAGTTGGTACTCAGTGCTGGGTGTTCGGGTAAGTCATGCGTTATTCCTCCTTTCTTTTAATCCTCCTCGATAAGCCAAATTCAGAGTCAAAGTATAATGTTAAATTTGCAATCAACAGAACTAGAGCTATGATGGTTCAGGAGATAAATCGAACAATTTACTTTAGATTAAATGTTGCAGTATAAACAATATCATCCAAACTAGTGTGTAGAAAAATGTATTCAAATACACTTGAAAAATATTTCAAATAATAATTTTTAACTTACCGTTTTTCTTTTTTGAAATTTATGTATGTTATAGATTTCTAAAAATTCCAACGAACTTATTTTTGAAATATTTGGTTTTTTGATATCACAAATTGTTTGTTTTGTTTGAGTTTGATTGATTAAGTTTTTAAAAAGCAGTATAATTAACAATGACTGTAACAGTAATTTTTTTTTAACCCTTTGGTGGTTAGAGAAATGGGCAGTTTTCATTTACTTAATTCGCGCAGTATTACGAGTAAACAGTAGTCGACAGTGGCAGCCAAAAGATAGCTCGCCTCACGAGCTTTAAAAATTCCTTAAAGTACATAAATAACGGTATTACATACTGTAAAATATTTAATAAATGATAGTTATTAAATAGTAAATTATAAATGATTATAATCAATTATATAAATAAAAATAGTTAATTATGAATATAAGACAAGTATTGAAGTGAAAGGACTAAAATACAACTAATGTAAAATTTTATGAAGCATTTAAATACAGTAATCGCCTAAAAAAAAATTTTGTACACGCTATGAAAAAATTACAGTAATTACCTAAAAATCTTTAACAATTATAATCATCATCATAATTATCTAACTTTTGCTTTTGAGCCATTTTACTTAACAAACAACCTAAAAAACATGCCAAAAATATGCATAAAAAGAACAAGGTAAAAAAAAAAAAATTCCACCTTCATTATAAAAAGAAATTCGTGGAACCCGTACTGCCATTTGTAGACAGTAAAACTAACTACATTTCGCGAGTAGGATCCGTTTGTAACACGATCAATCCCGAATAATAATGGCGAACGAGCTCAGCTCATCAGCGCACATTAGGGAAAAATTTTAATATGCGAGTTGTGCTCGTTTCTAATTAATCTTGCTCCCAAGCGGAACTCACTTGCTCGCATTATGAAGCTCAATTCAATTGCGAGCCGAACTCGTTCATAACCATGAAAAGGTTAATTATCATTTTTACTCTGAGAACTTAAATGCATAAATTTTTTTCAATTTTGTAGAATATTGATGAAATATTTTAAATTCACATTTATTGAAAAGATAGTAATAGTAATCAATCTTCAAATTAAAAAATTTTATTGTGTAATCTTTAAATAATAGAAGTCTCTTTTTTTAGCTTTTTTATTTTTAGTTTTATTTTAAACTGAAAAAAAGATTATATGGGCTGTTCAACTTATGTGAAAAAAAGTTGATTAGTTTTATCATCTTTTTTGTAGTTTATTGATAATAAAGTGAATAAGAAATTATTTTTCATTATTCTTATAATTTTTTGTTGTAAATTATCTATTGTTTGAAGCTTTGTTATTTTTTAAAAAGTGCAAATTTTTTGTAGGGCAATAACTTTGACTGAAGCTATCATTTGGACCAAATTTGGCCTTGAATTGGTTGCTCGTACCCAAATAAAGAATATCCTTGTGTGGTTGCTCATTATGGTAAGTAGAACCACCAATTTTTTAATTATTGTTATTTGAAAGAAATATCAGTCACTTAATATCTTTACTTTTCTTTATTTCAGGTTGGAATGACATTTGCTTGTTTGGCGTTTTGTGTATATTACTCAAGAAGGAATCAAACTGTAAGTAATTTAGGATTATGAATGTTTCCTTTTTTATTAATGCTGTTGATTTTTAATTACTGCTAGTTTAGCATTTTAGACTATAGGGGAGTTAAATTTGTTAATTTTTTTGTGCTCACCAAAAATAATGGGACCCCTTTACATTCAACATCAATGGAAAAAGCAATCATAAATAATTATTGCCTGCTTCTAAAAGATACCATTTTCCTGTGAAGGTGAAAGGTGATTGAATGCTAATTAAGACTTTGGAAATTTCACATCTTGTAGGATCATCTCTTACTAGAATATACTCATTTGTCAGTTACATTGTTTGTCAGAATTTCAGAAAGAAATCTTTTTCTTTGTTGCATTTTAAATAAACTTTTTAATTTGCTAAGGAGGGAAAAACAATTCAATTTTTAAAAAAAATTACATTTCTGTGTAGGTAAGTAATATTTTTTCATTTAGGAAAATTCTAAACCTGTATTATTCTATATTATTTTCCAATTGTTTATAATTATAAAATTGTTGACATTCCTAAATTTTCATCATAAAAAATATGAGCAAAAGCATTTGTGTATTTATAAGGGAAGTTTTAAAGATAAAGGACACTTAAAATATCGGAATTAAGTTTATTTGAACGATAGTCAAGTATTTTAGAAGAAGGAAGGGAGAATAAAATTTTAAGATATACCCTAGATTTACTAACCATTAAATTATTTTAAGAATGTGCAACAGAAGTAAACACACTTCTAGTACTCTGTTGTAATGGCATACTCAATTTCTTTAGTACTTTTGTATTTAACTGAGTATTTAAAAATAGATATATTTTCTCTTGTTTTGTTGATTGTGAAAACTGCAGTATGGTAGATAAAAAATATTTCACATGTTATTTAATTTTTAAAAAGTAATTAATATTATCTAATAAAAAAAATTTGGAATTTAAAAAAAAAAAGTCACACGTCTGTTCACACAAATCTGTAATTTGTTCAAATACATAAAAATAATTTCTCAAATTACTGTCAGCATTATTTCTTTAACTTATTTTGTTTATTGGGCAACATGTCATTATATAATATTATATAGTAACAAAATTAGTAACATTTACTTATAATGTCTGTCAGAACAATATTTTAACTCGATTGCAAGTTGATCGATCTAACTTTTTCCCTACTCAGAGGAAATGAAAATATTTTATAAAAAAAAAAATCACATTTATAATATAACTAGCTGAATAACCGTTCTTCCCATGGGGTGAATTTAAAAAAAAAAGAGAAGAATCAATAAATCAGTACTGATCAATCATGCTCAAAACCGAAAGACATATTCTGAGACAATTAAAGAGCTTGATGGAAGAACCAGGTGAATGACATATTTAGGGGAATTAATGAATTAGAGAAAATAACATAAAGTGGTTTCGTCAATGTGAGTATGTTTAATGTAACAGAACTGTTTTTGCCTTCACTTTAATCTTAACACAACTAATCCGTATTAGTATGCTTGCATGATTTTTTATTTAAAATTAGGCAGTGGTAAATAAAATAAACCAAAGAATTATTAGTCCCACCTTCTAATAAATTGGTAATAAAATAATTAGGATAAACTTCTTTTTTCATTCTGAAAATGTCACTTACCTGATTCTTTTTTATCAATATAGCTGAAATAATTTAAATTTTTTTTATTTAATACTATATGTTGCAATCTTCAGTGGCTTTACGTTATTGAAATAAGCTAATCTCGTTGTTTGTAATTCATACCATTGCAACAAAGATAAAATGTATTTAGCATCACTTAGAGTGATGCTATTGCTCACAGCCAATTCATGATTTCACTTTTAAGTGACTGTCTTGGACCCTTTCGAATGGTCGTAAAACACTTGATTTTAAAGTATCGGTATTAAAACTGCTTAGTATTGTTGCAGTTTTAATAATCACCAAATATCTCAATATAATATTATTTAACTATATTAGTATGTTTTGTACTTATTATATAACCCTTCAACATTTGAGTTTATACTTAAGTGCATAACATTTCTCAATCTGACCTTTAATTTACTGTTGAAATATTTATAAGTAGTGGTGGAAAAAGTTCTTTTAATTCAAATTCGTTAAAATATCAATACATTATCCTAGTTACCACTGAGAAAAATATTTTCTCAAACTACGGAAAATCCTTTGTAGAATTCTTATCAAAACCAATTCACCAATTACCATAATACCAGTGGTGCATATTACAGTCAGTGATACTTATGAATTAAGCGTCATCTTTGAATTGCGATTTCTTACGCTTTTTTTAATTTATATAATTACCTTAATTAAGCATCATTGGCGTTGATTTTTTATGTTTCTCTTAAACGAATTCATACCACTTTCCCATCAATTTTGCTTTTGAATACATAAATATATTTTTTTCTATTTCAGTACGGTTGGTTTTAAATATGTCAATTTTTAGAAACACATTTAAACGAGTGTAATAAAAGTGTGTGGTATCTGACAAAGTAGACATTTGGTGATGTAGACCACGTGTGCTACCACGAAATATTCATTGAATTTATCTGACATAGCAAATATAAAATAAATAAACAATTAAATTCATGCAATAGACTATTTTATCTTTAAATATGTGAAAAATTTAATCGTTAAATTTAAAACAATTGCTAATGCTTAACCAATCAGAAAATTCCATTTCGTTTTTCACTCATCCCGAATGGTTTGGCATAGAATGTTCTAATGTCCACAGTGACCTTTCTCGTCTCTTGAACTATCTGTGTGCCAAGTTTCATAGCTTTCGGTTGGATGGTTTAGGAGTCTAAAAAGGACACTCATACCCACATACATTCATTTTTATATATATAGATAATGAAAATTCTGAAAATTTGTAATTAAAAGTTTAACTGAGAGTGAAAAGAAACACCTGATATGATCAGACTACAGAAAGTTTTTCAGCATAAATTGAAATTAATTGTATTAATGACTAGGTATTATAAAACATATTTTCTTTCTCTTTTGTTTTTGTTATGCTTATTTATACTTGTATTTTAACAAGAAACATACCAGCACTTTACAATACAACAGACAATAACTGATCTTTTGATCAGTTATGGTATGTTTAGTGTCAAACTGACCATTTTTATCTTTATACAGTCAAACCTCGATATCTCAAACTTGAAGGAAGAGGAGAAAAAACTCGAGATATCGAAAATTCGAATTATCGAAAATCGCATGTTATCGATGGTAGAATAAAGAAAAATGCTCTTTACATACCTTATTTACTATTCCATATTTATTCTAAAAACACTTTTTACACTTTCATTTAAAAAAAGATTCAATTGTTACTTGCTTTAGAGATGTGTAAGAAAGTTTGTCTGTAACACTTTCTAAGTGAACTATAGCTTTAAATGTCTCCTCTGACATATTCGGCTGCCTCTCAATGAATCTCCTTACAGTGTCCATTGCAGAAAGTGCTTGTTTGTTAGTAACATTGGGCAGTAAATCTTCGATTTCCTCATCCTCTTCTTCTGATAGTACACAAGAAGCTTTCGTTTGAGCGATGATACCATTGTCATCCCACTGACCACACACTGTTACTGCATCATCTACGTTTACAAAGTCAAGAAATTCCATGTCATCAAGATTCATGAGTCCGGTCAATCTGTTCCAATCATTTTCGGTGCAGTTTTCAGCAGAATTAATGATATTGGTTGTTTGACTGCTTTCGTGATCTTTAATCAATCCAGACTTCTTGAAGCCATTCATTATCGTAGAGGAAGACGCTTCATTCCATGCCTTGTCAGCCATTCTTAAATTTTTTTATTTTTTTTTGGAATATTTTTTTAATTTAGAAAAAAAATCTACACTATTTACGGAAAAATATTCAAGTTATCAAGGGATTAGAAAAAATTTTCGTTTAATCAAAGTTTTTTTTAACATTGAGTGTATGGGAGATTTGAAGGGAATTTTTTCTTCTTCGAGACATCTAAAAATTCGTGAAATCGAAGCTCAAGTTAGCGAGGTTTGACTGTATTTACAGATTTTTCTTTCATGTTAGGTAAAACCTAAGTTTAAAGTTATCTTTAATTCAGAAGTTAAAACAAAGTGGGGCACTGTTTATAATAATAAAAAATTTTACGAAAGAAAGAAAGCTTCTAAATGAAGAAGTAAAATAATTTCATTTCTCTATAACAGGGATGCCAACTGCTTCGCTTTCTACAAAAGTTATAATTAATTGGTATCAAATTAAGTAGTAAAACTTGTAGAATAAAGATAATTAAGCTAAGTGTCACCAGAGATGTCTACATTAAGTCCCATTTCGTGTGATACTTTGAATTTTTGATATGTAGTGGTAGACAAATTACTTAAACTGGAAAATACTAACAGTTACCGCTAGAAAATATTTTTTGACAAGGTGGAACAACTTGGCATTTCTTCTATAATAATCATCAAAATGATAAAATGTCATTGAACTTTCTAACTTTTTCAATTCACCCTAGTTAAGGCTTCCTTGAAAAAAACTCACAGTGCAGCAGTGATAACAGTTGAATTCAATGTGAAGGAAAATGTGTATCACACCATTTTCGTGATAATTACATACTTTTTAATCTTATAACGTCTTTAAATTGGATACTTTCAATATTTCTGCTCTAAAAATAAACACCAAGTATTGTCAGTTTATACTCTAATATATTTAAAAATGTATTAGCATTAGTTATCTATGCACTTTTTCAGAGCCAATTCAAGACTATTTCTATGGGGATAATCCAGTAATGTTTTTATTATTTTTGGTATCAATGTTTTTAAGTGTGTATGCAGTCATAAGTTTGGACCCTAAATGTGTATAACTCGATTATTTTTTTCCAACTTATCTAATTTTTAAATTTCAGCTGTCCTTAACCAAATGTAGTGTTGTTTTTTTTCTCTAATTAATTATCACAAACTTAATCTTTTGAATAATCCAAAAAAATTTTGTCACTGAAACATGATATCTGATAAGTTTTTTTCTTTTTTAAAAATTACCATTCAAAAAATTTTTTAGTTTTACAGAAATTATGTCCAGACAAGAATTGATAGAAACCAGCAGTTCTTTAAAAAAACACATCCTGAATATCTCAGTTGTTACAAACCTTTTTTTGTCAGAATTCTTTTTTTTAAAATATTTATATTCTAGTTTTCAATTTTTTCAATCGTAGCAATATATATATATTTGATCATCATAGTCCTTTGTTACGTGTGTGTTATTTGCGACCATATAATGAATTTCATATCTATTGCTATAAAAAATTACCTTTTATATGGCTTTCTTTCAATATATTCAATTAACATTTCAAACAGCAATACAGGCAAATTAAATATGTAGTTATTAGTGGAATAGATATTTAATTATAGCCAGACTCAAATAAAATGAAACACTTTCTACCGACAACAAATCTCAGTTAATTTCTGTGAGCAATTTATTGACTCTTGTTACTAGTTTCAACACTTTTGTCATCACCTAATTTTGATTAAATTTGTTTGAAAATTAGTGATTTTTTTTAAAAAAATATTTTCATTTTAATTAAACTCCATTTTGATTATTTAAATATGCCAGTATATGTTGTGATCTTGTTATTATCTTTGTATATGTTATGAAAGCATTTATCGTAAGTGGAGACATGCATATAGAATAACTGGCTGTTTTGCAATAAATAAAGTAATTGGAATCAATTTCATATATTCCAACCTTTGTCAGTAGTGGTGGTCTGTGGAAAAAAAAAAAACTAAGGGAGAATAAGATAGTTAATACTCATACAATGCATTGCCAATCTTCTTTAATTGGATAATATTACATTATAATAAGAAACTAAATGATCACAATACTTTTATGCTTTAAGTTAAATTAGAAAAATTAGCCCGGAATTTTAAATATAAGAAATGGTAAGTATTGAGCTTTAGATTAAATTTTGAGCGAACAAATTTCCATTTATTTCCCATCATCATTGGTTTCACCTCCTTGCCTGCCTTGAACAAACATTCCGCCACCTAGCACACATTGTTGCCAGGGGAAATTAAAAGAATTTATAGAGATCAGATGGCAACTGTAGTTTTGATGAAACAACAGAAGCGGCAGTTACCATCATCTCTGTTTGTATGTCGTCACTGTATATCTAAAATCTGAGTTTTCGTGATGGTTTATGTCTGATGATATTTTTCTATTGTAGGTAGCAGCAGACTCTGAAACTTCTACAGATTCTCCTTTGGCCTCTCCGGTTAAGGAAGCCATCGTAAAACCCAATCATGCATCCCACACTAAAGTCACTAGACGCAAGGGTAAATCAATCAATGGACCTCCCCTCTTCAAGAATTAATGCCTTCTGTCCAATTGTTCTTCACCAAATCTTTTGCTAACTATTGGCAAACTTTTTTTTTTAATTGTACCTCACCAGAAAGTATGTAATTTGAATTAAATTGCATACTTTTAGATTTCTACTTGGCTACTGAAGTTATACAAAATTATTTAAAAGAATCTGGTATTTAAAAACCTACTAGTTTCTTTTTCTTCCCTTAAATAGTTAGAAATTCATTTTATTTATTCATATAAGTGTTTGTTAATTTGTATTACAAACAAGCAATTCATGTTACAAAAACACTAAGTTGTGCTTTGAGGAAAATTAACTCTAATAGAAGCCATTTTATACAGTTTTAAAATGATCTTGCCATTTTAAGTGATAGGATATGGACTTATTAATAACCCCTCCCCCCTTTTTTTTCTTCTTTGATTTGAATTTATTGCTCATATCCATCTAATATTAAAGCAGCCAAATTCAGGCACAATTTTTTTAGTCCTTTATTTGAAATGAAAATGTTATTTCTATATTGGGCTATACTGAAAATAAAAAAAAGGAGACTTTTAACTTCCAAATTTGAAAATTGCTGGGAAAAAATCGTTAAATAATTCAGTGTAACTGAAAATAAACTAAAAAAAAAACAACAGTTAGAAGTATCTATGTTAAAATGCATTCTGTAATAAGCAGAATAAAACAGTTACGTGTAAAGAAATGAGTGGTAAAGAAATTCCTTTGAGAAGTGACATTTTAGAGGTACTTCATTCACTTAGTTTTGCTAAAATTGTAACTGTAATGTACAAAAGTCACTTTCTGTCAAAATTAAGTAATCTTAAAGTCTGAAAGTGATTAGACAGACTTGTAATTGACAAACAGTAAATACAGTTTGACCTGGCTGTAGTAGACTGTCTACGGCTCAGTGATAAATCTGCTATAAATGATGATTCACTCTATCCAAAATTCTTCATAAAATAATTGTTAGTGTACTGCAGTCATATTGTTAATTGTAGAGCGCAGTTTGTTTCATGTATTATTTACTAATTAAATATATAAAGTTGCTCTACAACTTAGTTTCTGTACAGCAAAATTTCTCCTATGACTGAGTTAATCAGAATGTTAAAAAAATATTCACCTTGAAATTGATGTCAAATATTTTTAGATGTTTATCTTTTCAATTTTAGTCATTCTTTGAATTTTCTTAAAACTTTTTATTTTCAGCTTTTTATTAAAAAAGTTTCTGTGCAACAAATTTACTTTCCCATTTGCCTGTTTTCGTAACAATTTTTTATTTTAGAAAAATGTTTCAAATGAAATATTCCTTTATAATATCTTCATTTTTAATGAGAAACCATAATTATGTATTTTTCGCATAGATTAAACAACAATTATTTAAATGCCTCCAAAGAGGAAATTTGAGGTCACTCTAAAGGAACTAACCAGCCTTAATAAAATAACATTGTTTAATGAGCAATTTAGATGGAGCCAATAAAATTATCTACCACAACTGAGTGTTCATTATAGTGGATATTTCCTTACTTTTAGAATCTGTTGATTTTGAATTACAAATATAAAACACATTTTGCACATGAATTGATTGTAAAACATATTTATTACATGTTCAGCATTAACACTCCCACCTAATAATCCTTCCTCCAGTGTTTTTTTTTCTTAAACTCATATTACCCAATAGGATTGTCTTTTATTTTATTTATTTATTTTTTTTGTTTCTAAAATATTGCACCAACTTACTAAAAATTTTGAAAAAAAAAATGAGTTAATATACTTTTAGGTATTTATAAAACCTATTTTACAATAAGTGTATGGGTCTATTATTTTAGGATAGAAAATTATATGTTTTTTTTTTTTATAAATATATTTAATAATTGTTAATTGTGTTATATAATGGCTGTTAAGTGTTGTTATTGTGAAGTTATTATTCAAATATTTTTTTTCAGTTGTTGAAATATTTTAAATGAGTTGTTCACTGTTTGAGAAAGTGAAAAATACTATATGTAAGTGATTATAATTTAATCATACATTTAGACAGTTATCTAGGAAATATGTTACTCTCATTTAAAGTTTTTTTTATTGATAGTTCCCTCTATTTATTTATCTCTACCAATATGTCTCCTTAATTTGTTTATCAGCACAATAAGTTTTTCACATAGAATTTTTGATGTGTTAAAAAAAATGTGTTATGGATTTTTTGGTATGCAGTTAGTACTTGTTTGCATTGTTTTTCAAATAATGTTCTTGTTAATAAATAGAGTGATTTTAATTATAATGCTGGGGTCAGTTAGGGCTCATATGAAGCACTCAAAAGAAAGGAGCTAATGTGAAATGTAATGAAAAAATTTGATTATGAAACTTTCTTGTATCAAACTTTAAACCTTCAGCTCTCTGACATGCAAATGATTTTGACAGAGTTTCTTTTAAAACAGATTGCTGTGTGTTGTGAATAGTAAAAACAATCTATGTGTTAATTCTAGTCTAAGATAACAAAATGAGGATTTTAATGCGTGTAACATAGTTTTATTTTTTATAATTTCATTTATGACGCATTCAGCATATTTGTTTTGTCTTCCTAGGGGGAAACCGAAACAATGGGCAATGTTTTTGTTTCAATACTAAACAATTAAGAAGAAAAAAACAGTGTCAGTTTTGTTTTAACCCTGACTGATTCCAAGTTCCAAATTCTACCCTCCCATTAAAATTACGTTTGTAGAGAAAGATTTTATTATTATTTCCTTGCTTAAAAAATAATATAAACCAGTAATTCCTAACCAGACAACCAATTTGGTAAAAAAACAACGTTATATATCTATATATTACTGAAAGATACAAGAAGAATTTAAAAAATATTTTTTTATAAAGAAAATTAATTTTTTGTATTCATTTGGCTGTCACAACTCTAAGAAAACTGAAAAACTTAACAACCTGCTCATCTTGGTTGGCGACAGAGAGCTTTTGTGGGACTTCACCTCACACTAGATCTTGCGCATGTCATATTAGGATTTTAAGATTATAACAGGCCTAGTGAATCATACCAAAAAAAACTGGTATTAGACAACAAGACTCTATATTTTAGCTGAGACTCTCGGCCCATTTTTGGGCTTCTGATTATGGGTTGGGAACCGCTAATATAGACTATTCTTCATTTTTTCCTTGGACTTATTATTTTTATTTTGTGTTTTTTATGCTATGGGGTTGAAGTAAAGTACATAATACAGTGAAACTTCAGTAACTTTAAGTAATATTACTAGTAGAAAATATATCAACTCACAAAAAATTGAAATACCGTAAAATACCGATAAAGCGCCCCTCTTAATTTTGACGAAAATCGGCGTGATATAGAGGGGGGCCGATAAACGGTACTCAAGAAAATTCTAAGCACCGTCTTTCTTTTCTGCTCAATCTTTTACATTCAACTCTCCCACCACACCCTAAATTTTTCTCACATTCTTATCAGTGAGTGTACATTCCAATCAAGGTGACCTTGACTTCTAATCTTTTTCGTTTTTTCTTTTAAGAAATTTATATTGTTAAGACAAAAAAAATCAGCTATATTCTTTTTATTTTGAATTTTATTCTGTTGAAGTAACTTACTTTATTTTATCTTTTAAAAATAAAAACGAAGCCTGAAGAAAAAAATAATAATAAATCTGTATCAAAGGAAACATCTGTTTCTAAAGCAGTTTAAAATAAAGTGAGAAGTAAAAACACCCGCATTTCCAATGAACAAAATAAAGAAATGGAAGTTGGAAAAAACTGATCAATCAATCTTGACAGCTGTGCTTTACTGCCCCCGAATTTCCCTCCTCTGTTTGACCATAAATTGGCCACACCCAGTTGACATTGAAACTACCACATGGACAATAAAATGAATTTATCCCTTTTGCGATTTTTTATTCGATTCATTAATTTTTTTTATTTTGCCGCTTTTTATTTTTTCTTGTTAATTGTTGCTTGCTTGCTTTTTTTCTTTTTTTATCGTTATTAATTTTTAGCTTGTTTTTTGTTGCTATTCATTGTTAGTTTGTTAGCATTTAGTTTAAAAAGCTTTTTTTTTTTCTTGCGAGGTAAGCGTCTTTTGTTAAAACAAAATGTTATCTAAAAGAAAAAACGAGAACTATGATCTCGCTCCAAAGAAGAAACGATTATTTCTTCTTCATAGGATTCTGATTATTTCTTCTTCTCTTATGATGGGCCAGTTTTAAATTCACCCCATCATAATCTATGATCGAAACTTGACTAAATTTATTGGTTTTTCTGAAATTAACAGTGGAATTGAATTATAGTAATATTTGGGGGCCATATTGGAATTTCCGAAAGAGATCCGAAGTGCGGCATTTCGTCAGTCCCGTGAGTGTCGGATTTAGGGTCCTATTCTTCCTTTTCTGTTCACTTAAATTACAATTGCTAAGGCGCTAAATAGATTTCTAGCTTGCGATTTTTCTTCAAGCTGGGGGTGGATACAAGATGCATACCTTTTAAATTTTCTCCTTATGCGATGTTTTTTTAAAATTATTATTTCGTTTATTTATTTTCTTACAGGCTGCTGCCGAAAGTTAGCTAAGAATTGGCGATGTTCTGCAGCAGATCGCGATACGGGCGAATATTTCGTCGACTTCGTTATTAATTTTTTTTAATAGTCAGAAAATTATTTCTTAAATAACTTTCCTTGACAAATTTTTTTGCTACAAAAAAATATTTCGTCGGAAGCGCCGCTGCATGTAGGAGGGGGGGGGGTTTTTTGGGTACTGATTGGCAATCTGCATAGATGTGAAACTACAGGGGGGCGCTTTATCGAGTTGGGGCGCTTTATCGGTATTTTACGGTAGTCATTTTTATATACTCACACTCATTCTAACAATTAAAGAAATAGTTATCTAAATTTTAAGTTGTTTGCATATTTTGTGACATTTTTTTAAAATTTTATTTATTTATTTACTTTTTATGTGAGACAGGCTCCAAGCATTTTGAAAACACTTCTCAACTTCGAGTTTGTAGTTTTTAAAATTAGTAGTTTCTATCCAAGTTATAGTTTTTTGTTTGAAATTGTACATTTCTAAGAGATTTTTGGTTTGGACAGCAAAATTTTTTTTTATTCTTTCATTATTATTCTAAGAATACACTCATTAGTAAAAAAAAAAAATCATTGTTTCGGCTTAAAGAAGAATCATAGTATGAAAAAAATTGTTTAAATGTATCAATATAATTGTTTAAATGTATCAATATAATAGTTTAAATATACCAATAATAAATACTGTAGTTACAGAGGTTTTACTGTAAATTGGAAAAAAATTTTGGTTGGAACTGTCTTTGTTTTTTGAATTTGGTTCTGTATTTTTTTATGTGCCATGTGTCAGAGTCACTTTTTTTTAATAATAACTTGTTTAGTGGCTCATCTGCTGACTTTTTTTTAAAAAGTTCAATGTTCAATTATACTTTTATTTAATGACACTGAATAGTTGAGCTTTTTTTGTATTAATTTATTTTTGTGAACGTTAAAACGGGAAGAATGTTTCTCTATATTTATAGTGTAATGATTTCTCTAATGGTTGCCACTTCATCAGCATTTTATGTTTTGCTAATATGGTTATGTAATATGGATTTGGTTATGTTACAAAACTGTAATAACTTCTTAAGAAAAAAAAAGTGATGTCTAAACACTCTTTATCATTGAAGGTAGGCATCAACCATTGGCAAATGCAGAATTTCTTTTTGTGAAAAAGTGCATTTTTGAAAACACTTATAAAATCACTTTTATTTAAGACTTGTGATATTTGGATCATCGAGTGGTCTGTGTAACGTGGGAAAGCAGGCGTAGTAAACAGTTACCATACATTTAAATGCTGTGTATCCTAATAATTGATGATGTGATTGAAAATTCAAATTCTCTACAAAAAGAGAAAAAAGTTTAAAAGACTCTTGAGCACAACAGTCTTTTGGAGTGTTTGATGCTCACTTTGCAGAAGGAAAAAAAAAATACTTTTTCATAAGCCAATACTATATGTTTCCTGTCATTCAATGTATTATTATAATTTACTAGTCCAAAGTAGTGTGGGCAGTTATATATCATTTTTTGTGGCTGAAGAATTTCTAGTCATTCTTCATGTGTGTGTATTTTTTAAGTCTTCTGATAATTATTTATCAACAATGATGTTTAATTATTACATGTAAATATTATTAATTTCCTGTATTCAAAAACTCTTTTGTGGAAGCTGCTCAGTATTCAATAAAACATAACAACATAAAATTTTTATATATTTAATTGCATATGGAGTATTTTTTAAAAGGAGCTTCTGTGCTAAATGGCTGTATATTATATAAGCATGTTTTAGCAGAGTTAGTTTTTTCTTTCTTTTTCTTGAATACATTTCTTCTATAATATAATTACAAATCCTTTTGATGAGGAAAATGTGTTTGTGACCATTTCCACTACTATTTCATTACTGATGTTGCATTGCTGTATTTTTTAAACCATAATATTTTTCAGTTTTCATCTTGTTTATTTTTCTTAAATTAAGATTTATTCTAAAATGTCATGCTGTCTAGCAACTACTCTTATAATTGTTTGTCAGGAAAAATGTTTCTGCATTATACTGATTTTATACAAAATCTGAAAACTTTAGCTGTTGTTGAAGCTATATGTAGTTTGTTAATATTGCTAAATTTCTAAGGAGTTATTTTATTTACTGGCTCAATATTAAATGTTCTGCATTTTGAAATTTTACACTATATAGAATAAAAATAAATTTCAATACATTTTAATCTTGTACTAATGTATTTAATAAAAATTAAGTATGTTAGGACGAAAAGAAGCACTTACCTATTGCTCCTATTGAACACACTTTAAGTTTTTTTTTTAGTGAAACATATTAGTTACGAATGTTTTGTGATAATAATGTTTTATAACAAGTCTCCACAACTTTAATCGTGTTGTGAGTTGCATTATCCCAACTAAATTTGCTGCAAGCCAAAATTAAATAAATGTTTAAAAATGAGAAAGCAATAATAAGTGCTAGTATATATTTTTTTTAAAAAAATGGCAATATTATTCAAAAATTCATTAGGATAAACTGCAATTGGAAAAATAAATACATAAGAAAAACTCATTTTCATAAAAAGAAAGACTCACTAAAGAATATGATAGACTATATTCCAGATATTGACACTATTCAGAACTTTATGAAAAACAATGTTTCCTCATTTACAACTTTATCATATGTATTACAAGTTTATCATGTACAAAAGTCATGTGGTAATATTTTGAAAATGTTTTCCATATTATCAATTGTCAAGCATTGCTGTTTTTGATGGGGTTCATAATAGAGGTTTTTCCCTTATGCATGTTGTTCCACTTATAATTTAAATTTGCAGGGTAGCTTCAATAAATTTTTAATAGTTTTGACGATCAAGATTCTTAGCTGCACTCTATTATGTTGCTTTTGTGAATACTCAAATATTTTAGTTCAATATTTTCTATCTGCAAATGTATTAGCACATCTTCTTGATCAAAAGAAAGCATTTCATCAATTAATTGTTTTAAACAATTATTAAAAAGGCTAAATTCATGCCATTTTCCTAACTATTCTGTATTCAGTCAGGAAGGTATAAATTTTAGTTTTTATTCATGTGAGGACTTTGATTCAAACTTATGAGTAGGTTGACTGGGGATGTGTGTTGTGCAGGCATGCTTTATAATGTTAGTAATTATTATTGACATTAATTTTCATCAGGTTATCTATCATGACATGCTGGATTACATCTTGGCCTTCTCATATCCTGGTGACCCTTCGCACTGTGGTGCCACAGGTCCTGGGTTCGATCCTCGGGGGCAAGCAAGGTTAACACGGCCTTTCATCCTGTCTGTCTCAATAAAGGGAGTGCAAAGCATACGAGGGGACTACACACTGAGGGTTCTTCGTTCGGCTGACCTCCCAACCGATACATCTGCTTCTACACCCCAGAGCCCAAGGGCATGAAAACTGAGATGGGGATGGTAGGCCTTGGCCCTCTATGGGCTGCCACGCCACTGAATTCAGTTTTTTTCTTATCTTAATGACCGCTGCAGATCTTTGATTGTGTGTTTGGGAATTTTTAGGAATCCTTCTAATTAAAAGTCTATTTTCAAT